CGAGGGGGTAGCGTGGCAGCACGAATTTGGTTTTCCAAGTAGGACCACAAATGCTCTATTGAATTAAGGTCAAGTGAATTTGGGGGCCAAAACATGACTTGAAAGTCACTGGAATGTTCCTCAACGATTCGACCCTTATGACATGGTGCATTATCCTGTTGATAAACACCATCCCCCGCAGGAAAAACTGTTGCCATGAATGGGTGAACCTGGTCTGCAACTATGTTCAAGTAGCTTGCAGACGTCAGGGATTGTTCTATGAAGATTATGGGTCCTAATGTGCCCATGAAAACATTATTCCTGGGCAAGAAACCATGAAAACCTGGGCGAGCCCATTGTTATAGATGGAGGGTGATCATAATGTAATGGCTCTTCGGTGTATATATTACACTTGTGTAAGGGTGCTTAAAACTAAACTTTTTCGTGTGATGTTTTAATTTTGTTTTCAAGAGCTGGTTAGCTCTTGTTTTCGAAAGTCTTATTCATAATTTAAACACCATTAGGACCAATAATAACAGTGGGAAAGTGTTTCAATATTTAAAACTTGCATGAATAATTATTCTTATGTTTGAATTTATTTGGTTTTCGTATCTTTTGACTGATTAAAAATAAATTTCCTTGCAGACTTTTTAAAAGAGGTCCAGAGAACAAACAAGATGTTGAAGCAGGTACTGAACTCCTATCAAAAGATGGAAAAGCAGAGATTAAAGCTGGAGAAGAAGGTAAGAACGGCAAAGCCGGAAGTAATACAGACGTCGCAGTTGCCGTAACAGATGGCAAAGAAGAGGAAGGAGAAGAGGCCAAAGCAGCCAAAAGCAAAGAAGCCGACCAAAAACGTGGATACTGGCAAAAAGTAGCCATCAGCCTCGTCTGCATCGTAATTGTCTTGGTTATCGTTAGCGTGGTATCTGTCATCACCAGCTCAGGTCATTCCAACAGAGGACCCCTTGGAGAACCCGTTGCTGTCACTGAATGTGGACCTGTCAGAGGATATAAACAAGATGATATGTATATCTTCAAAGGTGTTCCATACGCTTTACCACCAATTGGAGAACTTCGGTGGAAGCCACCCATGAAAGCCTCTACTCTGAACGAATGTTGGACCGGGACATATGAAGCATACAATTCAAGCGCAATATGCTACCAGAAACCGATTCCCGGACTTAATTTGGAAATGAGCGAAGACTGCCTTTATTTAGATATCATTACACCGAGTTTATCCCCCCCTATCTTGAGGCCAGTGGTCGTTTACATTCCGGGTGACCATCCAGTAAAGGGCTTCACAGCTGATGATATCAAATGGCGACCAACGACATCCGTTGCTGATTCTAAAGATGTCACATTCGTCACTCTGAATTACCGTACGAATGTGTTCGGATTTTTGGTATCGGATCTGTTAACGAATAGAATGCGACCCCCTACATCCGGGAACTATGGAATTATGGACATGATTGCAGCTTTGAAATGGGTGCAGAGGAATATTCGAAGCTTTGGTGGTGATCCTAATAGGGTATGTAATTTATTTTAATTTTGATATATTCTACACTCTCATGAAAATCAGTTCAACGTCGAAATTTAATATCAGTATCTTGAGCAATAAGCAATAATGCAGTGCAAATTTTCTACAATCTTAATAAGGCGAATTGTCCCGCAGTGGACTGATCGTAAAGACACGGTTCCCAGTAGAACACCGAAGTGAAGCATCACTGGCTGCGGTCAGTTGGGCGGGTGGGTGATCTCTTTGATCAACCTGCGTAGGGACCAGAGGTGCACGGTATTGGTCCTCGTTAAACTGTTCTACCGTAAAATGCTCGACTTCGCGAGCAGGTCGTTGGGTTGCCAAGGAAGTGAAACCATCCCCTCTGCAGAGGATCAAAATTGTGATGACTTGACTTCGAATCATCCTCGGGGATGCTTCCCAGACAGTTGCCAATAGCCCATTGTGCAGCTCTAGAGCGACGTAAATTGAATACCTACCAACCTACCATAAGACGGATTCCGTCAATTAAATTTTCTAAAATAAGGCGTAATTTTCACATTAATTTATAATTAATTTAGTTAGTTAGTTATGTGGTTTGACTTCACGTCGTATTAAGGTAAAGATATATGAATTTTGCATAGAGTTTGTCTTACGTAACCGTAGCGCTAACCATATTTTCTACCCTATAGCGACATTGTGATTTGTAGGGAGAGTTTCGCACATGCGCTGTGAAGCTCAATTTGCACTAACATTCGAGTAGCGGATAACTTTAACCCTTTGTAAAATATCTCTTTCCGAGAGGCTTTGCCTAGCTTTGTTTTACGCTAACCTAATTTTCCTACCTCTTAGCGATATTGCGAAGTTGAGAAAAAATGTCATTCACACGCTGCATTAGTGGAAAACCGTAACGCTATGCAAAATCTCTCTATTTTTGTTTAACAAGATCCGAAATTTCTAATCTTCGTATTGCTGAAAGAAATCTTTCAACCACTATAGAATAAAGTAACAAAAATTGACATGTTATGGCATAATACTCATAGCCAATAGTATTTGTATTATTAGAAAATTGGTCGAGTCGCAAAAAATTAAATTAAGCCATTAAATGAAGTCATCTCTGCTTTAAATTTTGCTTAAAATAGATGGTTTCGTTGCTGCACTTCTTCTTAAGCATGATTTTTACTCAAGTGTGATTTTAAATTTTCTTTTTTTCTGATTTGGATTCAAAGTTACAAAAATAAATATTTTGTTTTATAACCCCAATAATACCCCCAGTATAAGTGTTGAACAGCTGCGCCATTTTTGGTTTGCTACTATCAATGTTCAACTCTGTAGTTTTGAGCCCAACCCAGAAGGCAAGGGAGCTCCTGGATCAAAGATTGGGATAGCATTGCCAGATTTCGTAGAGGGATTTTTGAGGGAACTACGTCTCATTTACGTAACATGTAAATGTCCTAAGCTGATCCTGAGGATTCTAACCCATAATCCGTCTACCACTAAGAATATTTTACGTCACTGTAAATACTATGACGTAACTGTGGTCAGTGCTAAGTTCGGAAGCAGAATTGGTATTTATACCAGCATTCTGAATTCAAAACTGGGTCGATTGAGAGGTGAGTGCTCTATCTCCGAGCCACCGCAACTCAAATTAATAAATTACATTCTTTATCATGGGTATTACGAATCTCGCTCATTTGGGCTTCATCAAAAACAGTTTCAAAGAAAATAATAAAAGTCTCATTCATATCTTATGATGAGAAAAAAATTTAATGGATTTTTTGTATACAGTTAGTATGATTTCTAGATCATTGGTTCCCCAAATTTTTTTTTTCAATTCAACCTTCTTTCGACGGAACCTCGACTTCGTAAATAAAGTTTATTAAGGTAATTGTGAACTTCATAACCTACAGAAGACTATTTTTTAAATATTTAATTAGATGGATAAAGATTTGTCATTGTTTTACCGTTAATAATCTTAAACTAACGCATGTGAGACCTGGACAATGACCCGTGGAGATGAAAATATGATAGCTAGATTTGAGAGAAAAATAGTGCGAAGCATTTTTGGTGGAATAAGTAAGAACGGTACCTGGTTTAGAAGATCAAACACGGATCTTTACAAAGCATATAAAGAACCTGATGTCATTAAATTTATCAAAATTCAAAGAATTAAATGGGCAGGCCACATTATAAGAATGGAGGATAGCAGGACAACCAAAAAAGTTTTCTGTACCAGGCCAACAGGTACAAGAAAAAGAGGACGATCAAACCTAAGATTATTAGACTGCCTTGAATAAACTGGAGAACCTTGGCTAAGGGAAGAATGTCTTGGCATAGGCTTGTTGAGAAGGCCAAGGCCCATCCTGGGCTGTCGTGCCAATGAGAGGAAGAAGAATCTTAAACTAGGTTTTATAACCACAGTTAAATTTGTAGTCCTTATTCTGTATCTAGTAAATTTATTATGATTTGAAAAGCTGGATAGGAAATACTAAATGCAATATTTTATAAATGCTTGCTCTTTTTTTATAAGTTGTTCAATATGTTATTAGAAATTTTATATGTTCATCTAAAAAATGCTATTTCTGTTTCATAGGCATTTTACTTGAAATAATTTTACAAAGGCAACCGGAAGTCGAATAATCGAAGATTATATCGAAGTATCGATATATATAATCGAAGGTTTAACAACTCATCATAAAAAGTCATGGAACCCCTTTTAGACTTCCACGTAACCTTAGGGCCCCGCGGAACACCATTTGGGAACCGCTACTCTAAATGACTTGAAAAATTTTATTGTTTTTTATCGTATTAATATCATCAAATTCGCTTAATAGTATTGCTTATTAAATAGTTCCAATGTATTTAAACTGCAATTGGTCTGAAATATTTTAGGTAACTGTATTGGCTCATGGTGGTGGTGCTACTGCTGGCTTAGCTCTTTTATCATCAAAGAAAACCTCAGGTCTTTTCCACCAAATGTGGCTTACTGCTCCATCAGCCAAGTTTAGCAATAAGACACTGACAGACATTTCTTCCGATAACTCGGCTCTTCTAACGTAAGTCGTATTTTGTGTTAAATTCTGCAAAATTTAAGAAATCATTATGAGAAAAATGGAAGGAGATAGAAATGTACGATCCGCTGCATTATGCTTAGGAAACCAACTTTGTTTTTCGAAATTAATTACAAATTTCGTCAACAATGACGCTGTTGACAATATATAAAACGAAATTTTCAGCTATTTGTCAGACGATTCCAACAGAAAAATATTTGCACATGCATCTGTGTGTCTTTAGATGGCCTCATATTGTTGATTTTTTTTTTAAAGAAATGGTTTTTAGCAGCGCCATCTGATAACGAACTTTGTAACTGATTTCAAAACCTGGTGAGGATAGATATCGTTTCCTGAGTAGAACATTGCAAGCTGTACATTTCTATGTTGTTCTGTTTAAGCGTTATTTATTCACATTCTGTATATTCATTTGAAGAATCTGTGTGACATTTAAACAACTTGTTCAATCATATACGATAGTATTTAAACTGTGTAAATGAATCTTCTGTCAGCACTGCTGCCAGTTGCTATCCTTGGCTGTCTCAAGCAATCTACATTTTCTTTTTATATTTTAATCGCTTTTTTTTAATGTTTTTGTTTAAAAAAGGAGATTAAAAATTTTTTAAAAGCTCAGCGAAAGTAAAGAAATTTTATAAATTGGTTCATTTCGCACATTTTAACGAAATTAATAAAAATAATTATTTTGCTGAATATTTTGATATCTTCTCATATAATTATGCGAATTCATTAAATATATTCATATGCATTAAGTATCTAAAAAAAAAATTATAGAGTACAAGAGTAAAATCAGAGGACGTTCGAATTTTTGCTTATCATAAAAATAAACCTATAAATAAATGATCGAAATAAGAATCCGGTAACTAACTTTTTTTTTTAAATAAAATAATTCCTGAATAGTAATCAATATTTTATGTCCGGTTTTGATTGACTATTAATATAATTTGAAAGAAATTAAAGGATATTTCATATTTTTACAGGAAATTAAAATGTGATTCCCTGTCATGTTTATATAATAAAACTGCTGATGAAATCCTAGCAGCAGTTCCTGGCTTTTGGGCAGCTGATTGGTCCCATGATTTACCAAGCTCCGAAGAGGAACTCAGTCCTGAAATGGTTGTTGTTGATGGTGAGTAGCATGTGTTTACAATTATTACATAGAATGCCCTGTAATAATTATCACCCTTGTTGCGCAGTTTATATAATCTTCCTCAATAGGTCAGAAATATTATAGTGGTGGCAAATCAATATTTAAATGAGAAAAAGTAAAATATAATGAAAATCCAACAAATCATTTTAAAGGTGGGATTACCTTCAAAGTTGACATGAAAAAAGCTTTATACTATAAAGCTGTTTAATTTGCTACGGAATTTCTTTTTCAGATTGGAAAGAAAAGGTTTTACTTTGCAAGCATTTGTTTGATTGACAAACTTTTTCAAAATTATGTTATTATTTTAAATTTCAGAAGAGTAATTTTAAACTAATAAAATATCTGAAATATTATGCTTTATTTTTCAGGTGATGTCCTTTACAATACACCTTTCCATATGTGGAAGGAAGGAGATATTCTTCAAGTACCTGTCGTAATTGGTAAGAAATTTAAAATATCTTAGTTGTCATTTCATTTAAAATTGATTTATCCTACATTATATTCTTATCATTTATTTATTTTCTTCTTATCTTATTTATTCTGAAACTTTATTTAAATTTGAAACTTAATGGGTTTTGTAATTTTTTCTTGATTTTATTTTACTTAAAATCGTTTTAATTTTACATGTTAATTCTAATAAAATGCATATTTTGGCTTACATGTCTCAAGAAAGTTTTAAGCTGAATTATGCAGGGTGTACTGCAATAACCACCCTTGATATAGAAGTAGTAGTACTTAATTTACATCGCACTAGAGCTGCACTATGGGGTATTCGCGACAGTCTGGGAAACATCCCTTATGATAATCAGAAGACATAACAGCACAATTTTGATAATCGGAGGAGGCTTTCCACTTTGGTAGCCCAATGACCTTTTGTGCGAAGTCGAATCCTTTAGGCTAGAACAGTTTAACGAGGACTTATACCTTCGGTTCCTTTACAGGCTAATCAAATATGTCACTTACCCACTTGCTGACCAACGTCAGTGATGTTCGACCTCGATGTTCTTTTGGCAACCGTGTCTTTACGACTAGTCCGTTATAAGACCCTCTGAAAACTAAACCTAGTGGCGCAACAGCCCATAGAAGGCCAAGGCCTACTGTGTCCATTGCAGTTTTCTTGTCCTTTGTCTCTGGGTTGCAGTATCAGATGTTTCAGTTAGGTGGTCAGCCGAACACGCGGAAACCCTAGTGTTTAGTCCCAGAGCATGCTTGGTACTCATTTTATGGACCCACTGAAGGGATGAAAGGCTGACTCAACCTTGCCCAGCACAAAAATAGAACCCAAGTTTAAGATCCCCTCTAAATATATATATTTTTAGAATCCTTTTCAATAATTGTGTCAAAAAAGTATACATTAAGCAACTTAAGCAAGTTTTAAAAAAATATGCTCTTAAATTTGTATGAATCTTTACGGAAGAAGGGAGAACTGAAACCTGTTTGATTGTCTTTGGAAACACAGAGGATTTAAAAGACTGTTAGAAGAGAAATACCCCAAGTTTATTCAGACAATCAAACTAGATCAATTATTTTTCATCCCATCAAAAGATATCCCTCGCTTAAATATTAATGTGTGACCCCTTATCTGTTTACCTTTTTAAAATTTATTTTTAACTTCTTAAATTATATATTAAGAGAGGTAATTACAGAACACCTTATACATAAACATAGTGGTATTATGCATGATATTTTTATGTTATTTTAAAGAGTGTTATTTTAACCATTTCCCTTTTGGTGTATCTTGTTCTTGTATTTATCATTGTTCATTTGTGTTACTTTGTACTTGTATGTAATTACCATTGTCCTTTTGTAGTATCTTGTTCTTTTGTATATTTATTGTTGTTTTTCTATATATTCTTGTTTTTGTTTATATTTATCATTGTTTTTATGGATTATCTTATTCTTGTACATATTTATCACTGTTTTTGTGTATTATCTTGTTCTTCTATACATTTATCATTGTTTTTATGTGTTACTAATAGGGGCTACTGCACAAGAGTCTGGATCTTCAAAAATGATTCACGATTTAGACAGATGGACGTGGACTGACTTTAGCGATTATGTCAGTGAGAAATTGGAGACAATCAGTGATAACAGAACTGTAACTGCTTTACAGTACTACATTCAAAATGATACAACTCCTCAACAACAATTCCATTCCATGGTAAGTAAAAATATTTCACAGTATCTGCTTCAAAATAAACAGTGCGGAAGGTATACACCAAAAAGTATAAACTTCTATCATTCGCAAAAAGTTCAATGGTTACAAAAACAAGGATTGAAGTTTGTAGCTTAAAAAGTCCTGTAAGAAATTTTGAGATGAGAATCTCTTGAAAATCATGCATCATGAGTTCCTGGACAGGATCTCATGTAAAATTGCGCAGAATTAAAAATTGAATAAACTTACTAAATTACTTCCTGGCTCTTGGACTTTAAAGTCTTTTACAGTTCTGAAACTCCATCATTCTGGTCTCTTTCCATCGTCGTGGGAGTGTTATTTATGCTGCCAATAACACTTATATTTTAACTTTAAAATTAGATTTAAACTTTAAAATCAAGCAAGAACTTTTGTAACCACCTGATGTTTGGACCCATGCCCAAGAGTTCGTGGGTTCGATACCTACCGGCCGAAGACTCCCCGTGTAGTAAATGGTGACTCATGCACATTTAATCCGTAGAGTTGCAAAGTCCACCATGTTTCCATAACAAATCAATTCCTCTGGGGGTACTGATACAGGAGTTTCCTTGTCTTCTGGAATGGTTCAAAATTACAGGGCTACGAAGTTGAACATTAGTAGTCGTAAACCCATAAAATTTGGTCGTCTGTTCAACGACGGATATAATACAAAATAAAAAGAGAAAATCTAATAGAGTTAATAACTTTANCGTGGACTGACTTTAGCGATTATGTCAGTGAGAAATTGGAGACAATCAGTGATAACAGAACTGTAACTGCTTTACAGTACTACATTCAAAATGATACAACTCCTCAGCAACAATTCCATTCCATGGTAAGTAAAAATATCTCCCAGTATCTGTTTTAAAATAAACAGCGTGGAATGTATGCACCAAAAAGTATAAACTTCTATCATTCACAAAAAGTTCAATCGTTACAAAAACAAGGATTGAAGTCTGTAGCTTAAAAAGTCCAGTATGCACACTGTAAGAAATTTTGAGATGAGAATCTCTTGAAAATCATGCATCATGAGTTCCTGACAGGATTTCATGTAAAATTGCGCAGAATTAAAAATTGAATAAACTTACTTAATTACTTCCTGGCTCTTTGACTTTAAAGTCTTTTACAGTTCTGAAGCTCCATCATTCTGGGGCCCTTTTCATCTTCACGGGAGTGTTATTTATGCCGCCAATAACACTTATATTTTAACTTTAAAATTAGGCTTAAACTTTAAAATCAGGCAAGAACTTTTGCAACCACCTGATGTTTGGACCCATGCCCAAAAATTTGTGGGTTTGATCCCTGCCGGCTGAAGACTCCTCGTTTAGTAAATGGTGACTGATGCACATTAGATCTGTCGAGTCGCAATGTCCTCCATGTTCCTATAGCAAATCAATGCCCCTGGGGGTACTGATCCCAGAGTTTCCTTGTCTTCTGGATTGGTTTGAAATTACAGGGCTACCGAGTTGAACATTAGTAGTCGTAAACCCATAAAATTTGGTCGGCTGTGCAACGACGGATATAATACAAAATAAAAAACATTAACAAAGTAATTTTGCCTAATATATTTATTTATTCTGTAAACCTGTTACAGGTCTCTGATGTCAGAACAATTTGTCCTCTTGAGAGGTTAAATGAAGCTCTCAATGACGCTTTGGATACAGATTCCTATTGGTACCTAGTGGATTACATTCCCAGTTCACCAATTCAATTCTCCAATGAGAGCGCCGCTGTTCGACTCGCCGTTCATGGCTTAGACATCGCTGCCATATTTGGTATTATGGATAACTACATTGACACTATGTCACCTTCAGATCTCACTTTCCAGAAAAATATGCAAGACTTATTCTACAGTTTCATTTCCACTACTAAACCTGAGATTAAAGGTGAACGTCTTATGGCGTCTAATTTTATTAACATGATTGGAGAAGCTGTTCGCAGCCGGATGACACCATATGACAATTGCTATGTTTGGAATAATGATATATTTTACCCTACCTACGCAAAAATGAACTAATTCGATTGGATGAAATAAAAGATCTGTAAACGGTAGTGCAAGCTTTATTGAATCAATTAAGCACTACATGGTGAATGTTTACTAGAAAAAAAAACTGATGTTTCAAATTCCATTGTTTTTTATGTTTAAGGATCATTTATGATCGAAATGACAAGGTTTGAAATAGAAACAGCTTTGGTGTGGAATATTATAAAATTATTTTCGCTTAAGTTGGAACATTTAATCCTCATAAATTTAAATATTTCCGATTTTTTTATCAATAATGAGAAGTTTTGTTTCAAGCTGATTTATGCTTTAATTGATATTTCCTATTTTTAAAAAAGGATATGTCTAACAAGCATTACAAATTATACTTAAATCAAATCATTTAATGCAAGAAAATGGAATCAAGTCTAATTTTCATCTATGTATTTAGTCAAGGTATAAAATTAAAATAAAAGCTATATCACAAGGTAATTAATTTTAAAAAAAAATTATTAATGTATTTAACGTTGCAGTTTTGTTTCAAGTAATCCAGGAAAAAATTCACTGGGATTTAATAACTTGATTCCTTAAAGATGAAACAGGAAAACTGTGATAACACTTTTCAACTATTGGTATTATGAAGTATTGCTCAGATGTTATTCATGTTTCAGTTTCATTTAAATGATGTAATGTGTATTGATGTTTGTCTTTTTTTTCTTCCTAAATCATATTCACCATTTTCCCTAATTCATATTCACCAGTGTTTTCAACTGAGAGAACCAAATATTTTTCATTGTATAAATAAAACAAATATTAAAAAGTATTTATTATTTAAGGCGCTTACTAAATTGCTTTTACTCAAGACTGAATTTGCATTTATATACAAAAAGTACTTATGTTTATTAGATTTATGTATCATCAAATATTTTTTGTATATAATTTCTTTGTAACATTGTTTTTTTTATATAATTATTTTAGTATATGATTTATTTTTAAATTTTGTATTTTATCTCATATTTTATTATACTAGGAACTTGTTGTGATTAATACATATCAGAATTGATGTTTTTAAAGCTTAATTCATTTTATCATTCTATATTTCTTTTTTTTTAATTATCATTGCTTGTATAAGATTTATTTTTATTTTTTGCTTCTCAAATTAAATTATGATTAGTGATTTTAAGATTTGTAAATTAAACAGGAACAAGCATTTAAAATCAATCTTTCAAAATCTATTTTTCAAAAAAAAAAAATTATTGCAGTTTTCTATACAAAATGTAAAATAAACTACAATTTTTAATGAGACTGATATTTACAATTTGTATGTGACACGTTTGTAGAATTTTACTACGACCAATATTCATTGAAATTATTCATCAGTTATTTAATTCACTGTTGATCAAAAACATATTTTATATTATTGCAAATTTCATATGCAATTAAATATTTATGCTGTTTTTAAACCGTTTTAAAGTAATAGGTTTCTGTGCTTGAAATAACTTCTACCTTGCGAAATTTTCTTATAACAAAGTCGATTAGTAATCCAAGCTAAATTATGAGTGATTTAATGCTAATTACTCTGCATTAATTATTAAAGAAATGTGTACTTTGTGCTGCCCAGTTCTTATAGCAAAGTGCATGCTGGATCTAATAAATTTAATGTTTCAATACAAAATATATTGCTTGTATCTGAAGTAAAAAATAAATAAATATAACCCAAAAAAATTAAGTCCAAGAAATAAAATAAAAAGTCCAAATTATATAGTTGTAAGAAAACACAAAAAAATTCTTATTACTTGTATGGATCCATAGGCAAGATTACATAGTTGTATGGAAATCCATAAATGAATTCATAGTTAAACTTTTAAGACTACTTAAATTGGTACATACATGAATGACCATTGGAATTCATAGTTTAAACAAGTTTAAACAAAATGAAGAAAGTATCGCAAGTTCCAATCCTCATCTTAATTCTAAATTTTATGAATCATCATATCATAATCTAAAATTAATAGTATATCTTTTACTCCTCTGGGACCAACCAGAATCGATTAGATAATGTTAATCTAAACTAAGGTTTAAACATAAATAACCTGTTTCAAAATGAATATGCTTAATTTATATGAGTTCCTTTTCTTTACAAGCGCATCTAAGTTTATGAGCGTCTTTCCCATTAGCCTGCACTATTAGCTGACCATGTTTAGGTCTATACTTATTATACATAATCAAACATGGCAAATAAAATAAAAATCTGAAAGCAAGAGTGTAAATATATATTGGATTTGAGTGCATTAAATTAAAGACGAAGACACGTTGTAGAGTAGCGAATAACGATGATGCTGTGATCTCAAAAGTGCTAGTTCATCGGTAAAGAGAATTCTGCAACATCCTGCTATAATTAGATGCAGTCTGGGAGATTTTTCATCTCGTTAAAAAATTTAATTTCTGAAAACTTTTTAAGCTGTTGCACTAATAAATTTGGGTTTCAATGCCCTTTGCTATGACATTTAAAAAGTGGATTAATGTACTTTCTATTTGCTCTTACAAGGCTTAATAAGGGTTGTAAATAATTGACACCGATTCCATTAAAAAAAATTGCTGCGCTTTTTAGCTAATTAAACAAAAACTGTTTATACGAAAGGTTATTCAACCGCTGCTATTAATATATATTCTTAGAATTTTTATCATAAATGATAGCGAAAAAATTAACATGTTGGATATGGCAAATTAATATTTAACATAGGAAGAAAACAAATAAAAATGTGACAAATCACTGTTGAAGAATAAAAAATTAAAAGTATCAAAACCTGTTTAATTGTTGGTTCAAACTTGTTTTGATACTTGTTTCGAGTAATTGGCATGTTTTGATATTTTTAATCCATCGGTTCTTTAATAGTGATTCTTTAGATTTCGCCATCATTTTCGTTTTTCTAGCTTAAATATTCATTTGTGGCCCATAATGTCAATATTTGTTTTACTTAACTTTGACAGGGGCTCTATAAATATGTATAAATATTATTACATCAGGCACATTATGAGATAATGTGCATTAGTTCCACTTCCTTCTGGGTTTTTTTCATCCTTAAAATGTGCAAATTCAAATAAAGGAAATAACTTATTAACCTTTTCGGCAGAGAATCATAGCAATTCATCTCTAACTAACCCTAAAATTATGTTAATTTTTCCTATATACAATCACTTGTTAGCATAGCATAATGTTGACAATTATTCGTTTTTAGTTTTTCTTTTGTTAATGAAAAGAACAAATTCTTTACCAAACAGTCTGTATCTAATTCACAGGAGAGGCTAATACTAGAATCCTGCACTGTAAAGAATGTTCCGTTAAATGCCAGGAAAAGTGTGCACGTTATGATTTTTGTTTTCTAAACACTGTTTATCTTATAGTATAAGTGTTATAATGTTTAGTGTACGTGTTTAGTAATGCATATTTCTCTATGTGTATTTTTAAAGTTATCGTTGCAGTTTTTGTAGACTTTTTGTCTGCAAAATAATTTGTTTCATATATCAAGGGTAAGATTTATATTTATCACCGATTCGCAGACTAATGATCTGAAGTCAACAATTTTTGGATGATGATACTTTTATAAAATAAGACTTAGTTGCACCCAGTATTAGTATTTTATATTGTTCTTTAATTTTTTAAAGGCCACAATTCGGGCAATTTTTAACTTAAATGGTACATGCGTGTAGAACCGCTGTTAATAGCCTGTTATATATTACTTTAGCCATTGTTGGTATTTTATAGATTTGTGTTTCTAATTTTGTGTTATTTTTGAAATTTTTATTTAAGGCTGTTGTCTACTAATTTCAAATTTAAAGAAAAAAAATGAAAGAAATACGGTAGTTTCTGTAAGAAATATGTTTAAATTAATTTTCATTTTGTGACAGTTTTTTATTTCATTCAAAACCTGAAGTTAAAATTGGAAATTAGCTGTTTATAAATTCGTTTGTTTAAAGAAAAATATGTTATTTTTCTTAATTTCAAAGATTATTTTATTTAAAGTAAGGCACTAGAAAGCATTTTTAGAAGCTTAACATTTGAAAATATATCGAAATTCGAAAACGATTCTTATTTTATAAACGTTTATTGGAAAAAAAAGTGTGTTATTTTCCTTGATTTAAAATATTATATTTGTTTAAGATAAGGTATATTGAAAAATGTGAATTTTTTTTTCACTTTAAAAGATAACTTTTGAATAAAATTAAGAAGTCATTTTTGAAAAAATAATCTATATTAATGCAAACTAAAGTTTGGCAGCCAAAGATAGAAAACTACTCTGAAAGTCTGCTGTATTTAAATAAAAATTAATTGTTGTGAAAAATGTGTTATTTTTCTCAATTCAAAATATTCTAAAATAAAACAAAGCCTAATAATTTCTTACTCCAACAATTATTAAACTATTCAAAATTTAAAAGCCAAGATAATATTTTCTTATAGAAATTGTTGGTTAATTTCAAAATATCGAAATGTTTTTTCTATAATTTAAAATTAATAAGCAACAGCTTTAAATCTGGTAGAGAAATTTGCTTAAGACTTTTCATTTATAAAAAAAAATTCACCGCATATGGTGCTGTTTTGAAGAAAAAAACGTTTTACTTTTCTGCTGCATGGGTGCTTGTTTATACTAGTGTGAAACGTTTTTAATTCATCGCATTTTGTACTAGATTTCATAAAAAAGTGCTCAATTTTTACTCACTTTTAAATTGTTTGTTTTCTTTTTAGATATCAAAATACCTTTGTTGCTTGTAATATTCATCTCAGCTGAAATGAGATGTTTTACATAACACTTGTTACCCTTTTACAACTTTGTATTTTGACATTTATTGTGAAAACTGTTCATATCACTTTTTACAATCTCAAAAATGCAACAAAGTAGTATTTATTTAAAATTAAAGTTTCTTTTTAAATTAAAAATGTTTTGGTTACAAGAATTTAGTGTGAATTTTTATTGTAAATTAAAATGTATCTAAAAATTAAGATCATCGAACTATTCTTGTTCCATATCGGTTTTTAATTATTCAAGTATTATATGAAAGAGTATAAGTTCGAGAATTTTCTGATAAGCTATGCATAGCCTACTGATAACTTGTTAATTAACTGGGTTTCTGGCCGATTTTTACAGACCAAATACTTATGGGTGTGTTTTAAATCCTTTTAAACTAAATTAGTTTCCTTAAACGTTATTCAAGTAAAAATATTGGTATTTTTAATGTTAACTATTTCATACTGATTAACATTTAAAAGCTTTTGTTTCTAATCTTATTTCTAATTAATATTCAAAATATTTTTAAATTTTTTTTATTAATTATAAAAATTAATAATTTTAATGTGATTCCTAACACACCTATGTATATGTTATGAATTTTGAGTTTCTCTGTTAATAGTTTTATTAATTTTTTCTCCTCATGACTATAACAATCAATTTGTGATTACAATCCCAACTGCTAACACAATCGGAATTCAATTAACACGAAGTTCTTATTTATAAAATTGGTGTTTAAATCTGATTGATTTTTAAAAAAAATTTCTACATCTCATTTATTAGTACTTCATTGCATAGTTAGTTTTATGTAAATTTTCTAGACATAATTTTTTTTACGCAATCATACAAGCAAAAAATAACAATTTAACACTAATCTGTTTTACGAAATTAAGTTAGTTTAAAGTTCGAAATATTGATAACTTTTAATTTTAGTTTACACGAAAACAGTGAACTTCCAAAACTGGATTCTCAAAGTATATTAAAACCTGAAATTTGTGCTGACTGACTTTACTAAAGCTTTATACTTGTATTTTACTATTTACATTAACCTATAATGTGGTTCCATTGTGATTGTTTAGTGTTATTTACTTTTATGTTTTATTATCTGCCTCTTGATTCAAGGGGAGTATCATTGTTCAGAGTAATGTCATTCATAACTTAATCGATTAGTATCATTTTGTATTTGTAGTTCTTGAAACGATTACATGCGTTTATTTTTTATTCTTCATCCATGAAGGAATTTGTGCTTTGTGTCCGACATAAACAAAATAAACGTTTAAAACCCAGAGTGTTTGGTTTGTTTATTATCCATAGCTGAATTCCCTCTCTTTTCGTACAGAGTGAAACAAAACGGGGAAACTTTTGCATTCACTTTCAATTCTGCAATCGGCTTTTCTCAACTAGGTAGTTTTCTTAAACAGTTTTATCGAAGTTTTAAAAAGTTATATATAACAGCGGGTCGCATATATGTTGCGATAAATTCCTAGGATTAGATTCATCAAGATTAAAACTGCATGGGAACCCATATTCGAGAATGTCGTCATACGCCGCAAGGGGAGCTTCACGTATTATGAACTGTTTCTTCATGTACTTATGTACAGGTCATAATAGGAGAGCACCTCTAGCAGTGTACGACAGCATTTCCGGGCAATTTTAATCCTTACATGTGCTCTAACTCCCTTGGAAGTGTGTAGCAACATTTCATTGATCCAGTACCCCCAGAGGTCTTTGTTTTGGGAACATGGAGGATTTTGTGACCCAACAGAATCAACGTGCCCCAATCACCATTTACTACACGGGGAGTTTTCGGCTAACTGGATTCGAACTCCCGTCCTCAGGCCGTGAGTGCAGCGCCCTGCCACCCCAGGCTATCCCGATCCGGAAAAACTTTTTGTACCAGTTTAATACATTTTTACTTTCTTACATTATCTTGATCTTGATTCAAATCGAATTTTTAAAAAAAGGCATATTAAATATAACACATTTCTTGAATACATTTCTTTTTAATCTTTAAAGCTTTGAGTATTTATTACATTTACATATATTTTTTCCAGTAAGTTAATGGCAGAAAATATTCTTAAGTTTGAACTTCAGTGTTTTTAGAAAATCGTCTTATAAGTTTATACATAAATGAAATTATCTTTTATCTCATTATAAATTTCTTCGTCCCAAGGAATCGCTGGAAAAGTTTTGCCTCCGAAAAGTTCCACAGGTTGCTGTATTAATTCTGATAGCTTTTCAACACGTATCTCTTCCATTTTAGGTATATCTTCACCTTCTGATACCATTACTTCACGTTGAACATGGAAGGGGCTGTATTTTAAACTCTGAGGATAATTTTCAAGAACATTCGAAAAAGATACAGGTGTTGGCGAATCCACATATCCATTGTCACTAAATTTGATCGCGTTATCGTTGAAAGGAATTCTTTTAGTTTTTATAATTCCATTAAAACCCACATTCAAAGCTTTGATTTTATCTGGCATATTATTATTAGCCAAAGATGTGGTTAGTAGACTCCTGAAAAGATTGGGGTGTTCTTCCGGATTAAGGTTTACCGGTTTTAAAGGGTTTTTTTCGTTAAATTTTGGAAACAAACGTAGGAATACAACATTATTTTTAATTCTTGAACCGCTCTCGTGAGTCATTTCTTCCTCTGGCGTATTTTTATCGGGATTGTCATCAGGCCATTGGACAACTCTGTCATTTTCAGTAGAATCAATATCATCAAATAACTTGAAGATAATTCCGAATTTGCTTTCGTTGCCAGAGTTTTCCTCAGATAATGTTCTGTGAATGTTGACATCGATTGGTGCTTTTTTATCGATCTTATTGGCAGATGAATGGTCGACTATTTCAACATCGATATCATCCAAGAACGAGTCGATTTCTTTCTCCAACTCAACATTTTCTAATTCACCAAGCGCTGTGTTTAGAATGGATTCTGTTTCTTCTGTTTTTACGGTTGTTGCTGTGACACGGTTGTTGTTGGGTAGGGTTTCTATATGGCTTTCAGTAGTTGAGGGTTGACTGGGCCTGGTTAGGATGTATTTTCTGAATAAAGGTGCGGCTAAATATTTCTTACTCGAAGATTCTGTTGTTTTTACCGAATGTTCATCGTTCGTAATGTTTAATTTTGTTATACTGTCAAGATTTTGAGGACTGTTCTTGGTTCTTGGCACAAATCTTGACTCCCTATAAGGCATTTTAACTGGCATGATTCTTATAATCTCTGGAATCCCTTCCAGTTTAGGCATAGCCATCTCTTCTGGAAATAAAGAAGATTCATTTCGGCTTTTTATTATGTGGGCTAATGACTTTAAAGACTTTACAGAATTCGCCATTGGTATGACTACAAATTTGTGCGAAGCCTCGGATTTCCGGATTGTCTTTCTTAATCCATGATTATCTTGAATCTTAACATATGAATCTTTATTCACTAAGTTGTCTTTAATTATTGAGGAAAATTCGGATTCCCAATTACTGTTGGGTTCTACTGGTTTAATTAGTAACACTGCGCTGTAAGCTTTAGTTTTCTTCTTGGCATTCATTTTTGGCGGAAAAGAATCAATAGGCTGGCTTTTTTGGTGATTTTTGTCTGCAGTTGGATCATCAGCTAATGGAGGGGATTTGTGATTTAAGGCAATGTCATGTGGAACATCGATTGTGAAACTCATAGTAAAATCCGACTCAGCAAAGATGTTTGGCATAATAAAAAAGATTGTCCACAAAAGCGCAGCAAAAGATGATTTGACCTAGACAAAAATGAACAATAAGGTAATGTAAAAATGAATAAAGTTCGGAAAATCAAATTCGTTAGGCAAAAGCGTTACGTATGCGCTACGAAGCTTAAATTGCGTTAACGTTAAAGTTACTGGGAATCGTAACGCTTTGCGAAATTACTCTATTATCAACAAAGGAAACTGATGTGCATAATATTTTTTTCTTTCAGGTGTGACATAAACTAAATTATATTCTCCTTTTTATTATTCTTGAAAAACTCAGTTTAATCAAGATTATTTTTTCATTTCATTATAATTATTAATCGATTATGATCAAAATTAACCTTTTCCATCGTACCGAAGGTGTATTCTAAATCTTCAGCGGAGATTTCGGTTGAAATTGAACCAATTTTGGTCATTTCAAAATTCTGTGAATGCTAAGAGGTGGTCCCACATTAGATTGGCGGTTTTCAAATATTTATAACAGTAAAACGGTTAAAGTTAAACGAATCTAGCTGCAAATTCACGTGACAAGGTATAAACTTTATTCCTAGAGTTTTTAATTTTAGTACTTAAAGTTTGGGATAGATGGCACTTTCAGTTCCTTCTAGTGTTCTTTCCGTTATGATTGCTAATTTATTCCTTCGATTACAAGTGAATGCAGTTGATGGATATTTTGAAAGTATTGTAATTTTATTTTCCTTCATAAAAGATTACGCAAAGTTTTGATACGATTTTCAATTAATTTTCCAGATTTAAAGGACTTACTTTTTGTAGTGACATCTTATGGGAAAATTATTTAATCCAAAATCAATAACTTCAGAAATAAAATATAACCTTGTTACATGAATTTTGTTTTAACCTTAATTTATGAAAACTGTCAGACTATTGAAGGACATTCAACTCTCAACACACGGGCAAATCCCTTATTTAAGCCACTCTAACTCTCGGAACCTCGTAACACTTCCACGGATTGTTAAGATTCTGCAGAACACCATTTTGTGAAAGGTTTAAAAAGGTTCATTCACGATTTGAATTGAATAATGATGATGTTTCTGATCAATAAATCATTCGGAACCACTGATTTAATAGAAAATACAAAATGTCTACATTTGATTAATCAAAAAAAAACAATTTTTTTCGCCACACATAGATCAGAGAAAGTAAAAAGTTAGGACGTTAAAAGAAAATCCCTTTGTTACTCCGTCGTTTCAGATGATACTGCTCTTTGAAAAATAATTTTAACTGTAAAGAATAAAAATGAATATTAATAATAATTTAGCGGAAGAAATCGGTACCGTTCTTACAAGACTTTTTTTGACAAAAAAAAAAAACAAGCTCATTTCACAAAAAAATAAATAAATTCGCAAAATGTTGAAATAGGGGGAAAAATCGATTTATAAGTGTATGCACCATGGATGCTGAAGCTAGTCTCCATGGCATACACTTAAGTGCGGAAATAATTTATTCGACAGATTATAGGTATTGAGCAAATTAAAAGGAGTAATCTGTAGAAGTGCAAAAATAATTTCATTCCTCAAATTACCTAGATAATTTGCACATTCCCTATTCTTCAAGAGCACGACTGCCTTTTACTGCTTTATCATGATTAGCTACTGTGATTTTTCAATTACTTTTCTTGATTTAAAGGTTCTACTATTCGCAGCGCCATCTCTTGGTAACGAATAAATTAAATTAAATTGCATTTACGTCGCAATTTCAAAGTTTCCAATTTATGGCGACTTCTTTCCAATTGCTTGTTTTCAAGACACCTGAGCTGGTCTTGAAACTACCTACAGTAGAGACCGTCAAGTTGGAGGTTTTCCTCTGGCCTGAAATCCCATCGAATATTTAAAAGAAGTGATTTTAACAGCATAACTTTCTGGGTTTCACCAGACATGGTCAAGTCATCTTAATCTATTGCTCGGGATGACCTGTGTTATCTGTGGCTACCTTTAGAGCTTTTACATAACTCAAAGTTATATCTAGTTCGCCAACAGCCTCTCTCTTGCGCTGAGGCAATAATAGGCCTGAACATTCCCTATTATTATTCATTCGTTAAAAAGAAAACACGATATCTGCTAAAATAACAGTTACGTTTCAAATACTAAATGTGTGTTATTTATTAATTTGCGATATCTAAATAATACGGAACTAACTAATAGTAAACTATACGGAAGCCGTTAATGTGCATATCACTTAGGTAAATCTCGAAAAACTATTGTTTCTACACTTTATCTGCTGATTAGCTATTTACTGTGCACAATACTTAGGTAAATCTTGAAAAACTATTGTTTCTACACTTTATCTGCTGATTAGCTATTTACTGTGCACAATACTTAGGTAAATCTCGAAAAACTATTGTTTCTACACTTTATCTGCTGATTAGCTATTTACTGTGCACATTAAACGGCTTTCGAGCTTGAACAGGAACATAAATACTTCATTATACAAAAACGCTTTGCAGTTTATAAGGTTTTAATTGAGCACTAATTTTTCCTATCACCTGATAAACAGGGATGCTCATCCTTAATCAGTATTTTTAAAACTCTTAACAAAAATATATAAACATTAAGGATAACAAATTAACAATGTCGAAATCTGTCTGAGTAAAGCTAGATTGAAAGCATCAAAACATGTTTGATTGCCGAGGAACACAGAGGAGTTGAAATGCAATAACACCTCCAAATTTTATGAGACAAGCAAACCGAATTTGATATTTTTCATATCACCGTCGCCGTCTTCACTAGTGATTCGACAGTTTTCGTTTCTTCCTAACTCTACATATTAATTAGAGACCATTAATCCGTATGGTTTTTCGCCATTTTCATAAGTATTCAAAAAATATATAACCAGGAAGGTGATTACGGAGTACCCTACACAAAGAAATGAAAAAAAAATCAATATTTACGTTTTTTTTTGTACTATTACCGAGACTAAAGATACTGATTTTCAGTTTAAAATAAATAAATAAATCGAGTTATTATACGTACCTTCATATTGTTTGTTTGCAAAACTTAATAACGAACAAGAACTAAGTTCACGTCAACAACCAAGTCCACATTAAATTTAGAATGCTTATATCGATTCGCAAAACAAAACAGATATTTATTTAACCAAAATATTCTATGAATTCTTTCGAAATTGCAGAGGAATTTTGTTTTATTTTCAAATCGTGGAACAAAGAACAATCGAAAAATTAATGAATCACGATATTAAATTTTCTCAGAATTGATTGATTAACAAACGAAAAAAATAGTTAAAAAATTAAAACATTATCTTTAATTCTATCTGCATCACAGCTGTTCTGGCGGAAGTTATTTACAGAATAATGATTGAATTTTAAAATTTGTGCCCAGGTACAATTCTTTTTTTTCAATTTCAGAAACAGCACATTAAAATATGTTGTTCCCAAGGAAAATGAAAGATAATTTATCATTCATTATATGGCTGTTTTCGACAGCTCCATCGTCATATGAAGTGGTGCTTTTTTGCGAATAATTTACTATTTTTACAACTGCTATGATTTTGCAACAGCTACTCATGATTGTTAGGTCAAGTTTAGCCTATCTAAACTCAAAGCTGTCTATGCTTAGTTTGAAAATGGCGCAAAACGTCAATGTTAAAGAGACAGTTTTGAGAAAATAATAAGCGTTTGTGGATGAATCTTTTAATATTTAAAAACTTACTACGATGCTGCATTAATTACCTGGACTCGTAAAATTTAGCAAAAACTGAGAATATGGCGGAGATTTTAATCTAGGTGGAAAAATGTCGCCAAATTGGCAATTTTTCAAAAAGTTTAATAACTATTAAATTATTTGTCTGTCTTAAAGTCTAGATAATTCTTCCCTGCAAGATGATATAGACAGTTTAAAATCATTGTACTGCTTCAAAAAAAAAAAAAAAAAAAAGCACTTATACTGTGGCTTTTTTATTTTCCTTAGCGACAGAGCTTCAAAAAAACAATGTCAAGTTATTTTATATGAATCTATTATGTTTAGTATAGCTCAAAATCGCCACCAGGCACAAGGAGATAAAATTGTTTGACAGTCGCAATCTCTTAAGTTATTTATTATTTTTTTCACAAAAATGTACTTCCTGTGCAATTTTTAATAATAAATATGGAGCCATGGTGGCTCAGGGGACAGATCGCTCGCCTTCCAGACCCGGGTTCGATCTCAGCGATGACTGGTCGATACGAATTTTGCTCCCGGCTAGCACCGATCACAGTGCTGACAAAAAATATGCCCAGTGGTAGACGGATCATTGGTTAGAAACACCTTGCCGCCAGGCTGACCATGGGAGGTTTTCCTGGTTTCACTCTCCATGTAAAGCGAAAGTAATGCCATCAAAAAGTCTTCCACAAAGGCAAATTTATCCCCATACTTGATTCAGAAGTTCTCATGTCTTCTGAATTGGGTTCGAAATTACAAGGTTAAGGTGCTGAACTTTGGATATAGTAAACTCAAAATTGGGTGGGCTATTCAACAAAGGATATAAAATGATAAATATGGAGCTGTGGTGGCTCAGGTGACCCGGGCTCGAATCCCAGCGATGGCTGTTCGTTACGAACTTTGCTCCCGGCTCGCACCGACCACAGTGCTGACATGAAATATCCTTAGTGGTAGACGGATCATGCGTCAGAATTCCCCTGCCGCCAGGCTGACCGCGGAAGATTTTGTGATTTTCCTATGTTATACAAAATGCAGGTTAGTTTCATCAAAATGTCCTCTTCAAAGGCTAGTTTTTCCCAATGCGTGATCCTCGAGTTTCCTTGTCTTCTGGGTAGGGTTCCAAAACTAAAAGGTGACAGAGTTGAACCCGGGTAATCACAAACTCAAAATTAAGTCTGCTGTACAACAGCGGTTGGTTATAAAATAATAAACATGAAATTACTATGAATATTTCATAATATTCCTAATATTACTTTTGGCCCCACATGTTTCGTAAACTTTTACATTTGAGATGAACCTTGTCTACCATACTTTCAGGAAAGCTACAAAAGAGATGCCTAACATATCATTGATATTAAAAGATTTGTTAACGTTTAATTGAAGTGGCTTTTTTTTAAAGAAGCATGAAATGGTTACTTAGGCGGTTTTTGTCGTATACAGCGCAGTCAACTCTCGATATAACATCTTTCTTCCAAGCAAAAATGTGTGTAATAACGTGTAGTTAAAATGTGAAATCACAAAGCTACCATAAATATTTACTCATAAACTAAACTCAGTGGCGCGACAGCCCATAGAGGGCCAAGGCCTACTGTGCCCATCTCAGTTTTCTGGACCTTGGGCTCTGGGGTGCAGGAGCAGATGTTCCGGCCAGGTGGTCAGTCGAACGCGGAACCCCCAGTGTTTAGTTCCAAAACATGCTTGGTACTCATTTATCGACCCATCGAAGGGAGGAAAGGCTGAGTCAACCTTGCCCGGCCCGAGGATCGAACCTAGGACCTGTGGCACGGGAGCGCGAAGCGCTACCACTCAGCCACCGGGCGTCAATATTTACTCATAACTCAGATAATAATGTCACCTAGTATGGTCGTTCACCTCTTTCTTCATTTCAGAAGAATTCAAAAAGTATCACACTTAATACGTGATAACTTTAAAAAAATACAGGCTAAAAAAAAATTTTTTTTTTTTACTTTTGCTAAATCAAACGAAGTAATTGTTTTATGGAAACTTTTCGTTTTGAAAACAAAAGAAATTTTGACACTTTCAAAATAGTTTTCACAGGAATAATAAAGTAGATCTAAAATTAGGCTGCTATACTGGAATGAAATGGTTCAGTGCGGACGTTTTAAAAGGCGTTAAAATAAAAGTGCGGTCCTACGCTATTTTATGTATAGCTAGAATTTATGTATAGGTCGATATAATGGAGCGATCGTTATAATGGGAGGCTGTACTAAAGACTGTATTAATACACATATTTAAGTCCTAATTACATAAAAAGTAATGTGTATAATATATATTGAAACAGAGAACAATTTTAAAAAAATAGTGCGTGGAGTCCCTCCGCGCGGAAGAAGTTAAACTTCGCAACCTGCGACGTTAATTGTAGAAGAATCAGCAGTGGTCGAAGGATCACTAGTTCTATTCAACGACTCTTTTTCCTGCTCCGCTCGCTTCCGTGCTCTGTAATCACGGTAATATTGTGCATTTTTGCCTCGTGGACCTCTTGAACCAGTGGAAGTGCTTGTGGTTGCCTCATCGTCTCGCCCTGGAAAATGTATTTGTATTAATGATGTTATGTGAATGCGTCATAATGTAATTTCAGAAGAGAACACCTAACAATTAATTGATATTCACAAGAAACGTACCTTGACATAACCTTATAAATCCGTCGCATTGTTTTCACTCATTTTTTACAATTGTTATCCACTAAATTTGAAAATAAAAAATACTACCCTATTAAATTATATGTGTATCAAAACAAACTAAAAAAAAATTTATAGAAAAACAATACTTTTATTATTTTTATGCTTGTGATAACCAAAACAATATGGAAATGAATAAGGGAAAACTGGATCCTACAACGTGATTTCCCGGCCAATAAAAATGTAGCGTTAAACGTTTAACGCAACCTTGTTGGAAGTCGCATAAGAAGTATAATTTCAAAAAGGTTATAATATGCTAAAATATTGAGCAACAGCTACAATACTCAAAGCGACATGATGACAGGAATTTTTCAACTGTTGACAGCAGCAATTTGGAATTTTATTATTTGATATCTTGCGGCCTTTTGCAAGTTAAGAAAATAAATATTAGCCCCCCGAAACAAGTTCATCTGAAGAACTTGTAAAATTAAACACAAATCATAATAAAGTAAGAAGTTTAAGAATAATCAGATTAACTTTGATTCCAACTATAGGAATTATTAAACAAAATTAAATTATCTTTCTTAGGCAACAAATCTTTTGTTTTAGAATACACACAAAATAAACTGTTTGACTTCAATAATTCAAAAGTAGTACTTACAATTGTATATTTATTCATACATGAAATTCAATATACATATCAAATGACTGTATTTTAACAAACTTAGAAAGATATAAAAAGCAGTGTTTCTTCTATATACAGTAACGGTGTACCACCTGATAATTCACCCATTTTCATTTAAGCTAATTCTTATATATAGCTCAACAGAGTCATTTCAAGAACACATACAAGAATAAACAGAGATGAATGTCCAATGCAGTATTTATAGATTTACGAGGCAAATCTAATTCCCGGAATGACGCCTACATTCACGCAGGTGCTTGTTGGAAAGGAAATTTTTTTTTTTGGAGGTTGGCAGCACTAATAACGAAATTTCACAGGCAACTGGAATTCCTCTCCGATGCTGTTGGCATCAGCTGCAGTTTGCTTCTGCAGGGGTGATTGTGAGTCAAACTCGAAAATCCAGAAAATTTCTTGAGTAAAATCATTAAAGACGCATAATGTCTTCATAAATTTAAATCATTGAATTTTAAATAAATTATATGCAGCATAATTTAAATGAATAATTATGTTTAAGTTTATTTCTATCTCTAATCACATTTATTATTCTACCAGAAAAAATATTTACAAATAAAAGATGCCAAGTATAAATTCTAGTTCTAATATTTTTAAATAAAATATACAAGAATTTTTACACATGATCGATTTCTTGAAACTTCTGGACCTAAGACTTCCGGAAACTTCCGGAGCGCAGTTAGGGAAAAATTTGGAAATCCGGATTTTTTCCGGAGCACAATCACCTCTGCTTCTGACAAAAAGAATTTTTAATTCGCTGGAGAGAAGTAAGAGTGAACATGCACAGAGATTTGATTGACATGGTTGATGAAGATGACAGTTTTTTAAAGAAAATCATGACAGGTGATGAGACACGGTATTCTATTTATGATTTAAAGACAAAACATCAGCCAAGTGAATGAAAGGCAAAAACATTACCAAGGAAAGAAAAATCACGCTTGGAAAAAAGCCAAGGGAAAGTGATGTTAGAGTTGTTTTTCGATCATGAGCTCGTCATTCTTTATTCCTGAAGGCCAAACTTTCAAGAAACAACTTTACCTGGAGATCTTTAAATGACCTGAAAAATGGGCAACAAATGATTGGTTTCTTTCACACGATAATGATCCACCACATTGCGCTGATTGTGAAAAGCATTTCGACAAACACAGTGATACCACTCTGGAACGCACTCTATATTCTCCCAACTTAGCGCCAGCAGATTTATATATGTTTCCACAGCTGAAAATCAAATTGAACGGACATGGTTTAGTAGATTTAGATGAGGTAATGAAAAATGCAAAAAAGCAATTGAATGACCGGTTCACAAATGGATTCCGGGAGTGTTTTGAACAGTTATACGAGCGCTGGCAGAAATGTGTGGATGCAGGAGGAAAATATTTAGAAAACCAATAAAGTAAAATTATTGTTCTATTTTTTTAATAATTTGTTATTGATCTATTCCGGGTACATTTTGACCCTACCTCGTATACCAATTAAATTTTAGAACAAATTAAATGATGCTTATCTGACAAATGTAATGACAAAGTTCATAATGAAATACAAAAAAAAGTATTCCTCCTAAAATTTCACTGAGTTTTTGAAATGGCTTTTCTTTTTTGTAGAATTTCATTCAACACTTTAGACATCTCCTTCTGAGGACAACCTAAAAATAATCAAACATAAATTTTTAAAAAATACCGACAAGAATTATATGGAGAGTTTTGAAAGAAAAAAAATGAATACCATAAAAACAGAGGATTTTGCTACTTGGCCTCTAGGGGTTCGTTCAATGATTATGTAAGTAATGAAAGGTTGGAGGTTTGTGATTTGCTTATTTTTAAAGTCACAAAAGATTTCTAATGAATAAGCTACTCAAAATTTTATAGAAGACATAAAAATTCACATTTTGTTTTATACAAATTTAATTTTTAATTAGAATTTAATCCTAAAATTAAATTAATACAGTGAAATTCAGAGTTAAAAGCAAAACCCAGGAAAGGGGTGTTGCAATTTTCTCACATAAGCATGCTGGGAGTGGGGGGAGGGTTATTGGTTTGTTTACTTTTGCTGACAAGAGGAGAGAGTGAATTCAAAATCACCAAAAATTGCATGCATAATATTTGAATGACACCTAGCATCTACGATAAAAGTTTTAAGAAAATGTTAACGACTTAAAACTCGTTACAGTTATTTTAAAACTAAACTTATTTAAACTAATTATAATAACACCATTAAAGCAAATAAGGGTAAGTGGAAAAATGCAGTAAAAGTCCACAATGACCTAGTATGTGCAAATTTAATCAAATGCAATAATTTAAAATAATGTTATAAACGGTAGAAAACAGAAAGAAATTTAAAATCCATGCATTTAAATTTTGTTTTGATATTTGTAAATCTAGAAAAGTGGCAGATGAGAAAATTTTATTTACAGGGATGAGAGTAGTTGGAAAGTAAAAAAGAGGAAATTCAAGAATGAATATATATCTATATATATATACACACAAAAATTTGACAAAAAAGTGCAATTTTTAAACTTGTAATCCATGTGATTATAAATCCCGATGATTAATTTTAAAATTGAGTGAATATATAAATATGAATCACATGCATGATTTTAAATTAAGATAATATGAATCACATGCATAATTTTTAATTAAGAGAGTATGAATCACATGCATGATTTTAAATTAAGAGAATATGAATCTCGAAATGAGGCTTTTAAATCTCGTGAATATGAAACACTATATTGAATTTAAAAGATGCGAAAATACAAATCATGATGCGTAATTTTTAGATCACGTAAATACGAATCACAATGCATAATTTTTAAATAGCGCGAATACGAAACCCACTGTCTAATTTTTAAAGCACGTATAAATAGGAAAATCGATGTTTGATATTACAACTGCAAAAAAGAATCAAGACATTTATTTTAAGCTCGCCTGAATACGAATCGCTACATAGGGTTTTAAAAGAGCGTAATTACAAATCGCGATATTGGATTTTTAAATCTCGTAAATAAGAATCGCAATGTATGACATTTAAATCGCCTGATTAAGAATCGCAACGTTCAACTTTTAAATCAGGTAAATGCGAAAATCAATGTTTGAGGGAGGAATGAGGACTTCAATACTTTCGCTTCGCGGAAAATTTAATTCCTCATAAAATATTTTAACTTGTGCAGATTAGTAACTTGTACAGAATATATAACTTGTGCAGAAAATTCAGCGGAAATTAGTGAGAAAAATGGAAAATCTGAAAAGAAAAAAAAAGCGGAAATCCGCTAATCCGCGAAAGAATCACATCCCTGTATTTAGTTCATGCATTTTGATGAGAAGTAGATAAAAATAGATAAGCAATGAATACAGATAATACAATAATAGTATGGGAGTAATGATGGCTCAGGGGATAGAGCATCTGCCTCCTCATGAGGTGAAACAGGTTCGGATCCTAGCGATGGCTGGTTGATACATATTCTGCACCCAGTTCACAATGAACACAGTGCTGACGTAAAATATTCTCAATGGTAGACAGAACATGGGTTAGAGTCCCCTTGCCACCAGACTAACTGTGGGAGGTTTTCCTCTCCATGTAACGCAAATGTGAGTAAGTTCTACCAAAAAACGTCCTCCCAATATTTGAGCCGCTCAGAAGCCAATGCGGTGAAGTCCAAAACACAAAAATTGAGAAAATTAATGTTTTTTGATACATTGGTTTTTAAAATGCTTGGTCTATTAATTTAATTAGAAAAGTGTATAAAGTCTTTTTTCGAGGTGTAAACTCTGCAAAAAAACAAGATATGTACAGGATGTGTAAATAAAAACGTAAGTATTTATTGAAATAATGACAGCATCTTAAAAATTTTAGGACTTATACCTTTTGGCAGCTGAAAAAGATAAGAAATTTATGTAAAAATAATAGGATTATTTCAAAAATTGTTTCTTACTTCAAAACTAGAGTGGCACTTTTCGTTGTTTTAGGAAATGAAAATAAAATAAATAAATAAATAAAATAAAAATACCACATTTTAAAAAAATACTACAAAAAATACCATACTCCTTTTTTTTGGTGAAAAAATACTACCGTAGTATTAAAAATACTACATCTGGCAACCCTGAGTTACTATGAACTTCTTGTTTTTCAGTGTTACCAACAAATATCAAAAGAAGAAGAAAAATTCAATTTTTATTTCAAAATTATAATTTAAAAAAATATTGATAAAAGGTGGACTTATTCACTATGGCTTCTGAAATTATTATACAATATATTCAGAAGCTATTAAAAAAAGGGCTGTCTAACCTAGAAAAAAGTAACCAACGAGTAAATCCTTTAATAACTAAGAAGATTATTATTTATTTCATCAAAATTTTCAAAAATCAGAAAATATCAAAAAATGGACCCGCATTGGCTCCTGAGCGGCTCATTTGTTACTGGAGTTTTCTTGCCTTCTGAATTGGGTCCAAAATTACAAACTACAGAGTTGAAAATTTGTGGTCTTAAACTGAAAAACAAGGGTCAGCTATTCAATGCCACTTATAAAATAACATAAAATAACAGAATGCATAACACATATACAATTTCAATTATATCACAAAAGTAAATATTATTATAATTTAAATATTTTACACCACTTTTCAATCAATTTACAAACCTATTTGTAATTAATTTCTATAAGTGTCTAAAGTGGTACACATCATTCTTCAAATCTGTATGCCCAAAAAGTAAAAAGGAAATACAGTTTTGTTAGTTTACGTACCAGATGGAATTTCTAGGAAGAAAGGGTGCTGCAAGCATTTTTCAGCAGTTATCCTAAAAATAATAAATAAGTTTGAAAAAAAGGTATATGTAGTTCAAAAATTAAAGAAACAAATTCATTTTAATAATTCTTATTTCTTTTCTCATTTGGTAAAACTTCAGTAATCTGAGCAGGTGTTACTTCTCAAAAATTAAAAATTAGAAAAAATATTGTTATTATTTTCCATTAAAATTTTTATTATTATTATTATTATTCAAATTATTATTATTTTCCAACAGAAATCTTTAATGGAAATATACCTTTACACCAATTTATCAATTTATTACTTTTTTTATATTTACTATTTATAAGTATTCATTAATAATTCTTTTATAATTTGTAATTGAAAAAAATCAATATTTACTATATAACTAAAAGAAACTGTTCTATCTATAATACGATAAAAATACAAAAAGATGGCTTTTATTGAAGCAGAGATGCCAACTTTTCAAACCAGCTATCAGTAACCAGAAGTAGAATACATATGATGTTAACAAAATTCAAATTAGCACAATTTCAAGGTGTCATTTACTACTTAATTCTATATATATTAACATTATATCTAAACTCTCTCTCTCTCACTCACTCACGCACGCACGCGCACACATATATTTCCCTGATGCAGGTGTTTGGTCAAACCTAATTAAAAGCCATAATTACTTAATTATTCAAATATCTCGTCCAGTTTTGAAATTGTCTATTAATAGATAGAATAATTATAACTGTGCATAGTAATAGAAAGTTGCTATAGCAGAGGGATAATTGTTACAACATGGTTCTCAGCAGATCAACGAAGTCAAGCATCACTGGCTGCAGTCAGTGTGCGGGTGGGTGACCACTTGGATCAGTCTGCGTAGGGACCGAAGGTGTGCGGTATTGGTCTTCGTTAAACTGTTCTGCCATAAAGTGCTTGACTTCGCGTGCAAGTCGTCGGGCTACCAAAGCGGATGTGCCATCCCCTCTGCAGATGATCAAAATTGTGATGGCATGTCTTTGGATCATCCTCAGGGATGTTTCCCAGTCCGTCGCCAATAGCCCATTGTCCAGCTCTAGCGCAACGTAAATGAACTACAATAAGAGAATAGAGAGAATTTATAGTTTAAGTCGGAACGAGTTTTTAGAAAAAATGAAACCAAAAATATATAAGTCCTGGGTCAAAATGATTTGTAGTTTCCAAAATCTAAAAGAATCATTGTAATGCTTTCATGGGAAGAAATTCTTTGAGAAAAATTTATTTGATTAAGTAACAAACCAGAACCTACTCGCTAAATTTTCTTATAAAAATTACCAACAACACAGAAAGACTTTCAAAATGTTCAAATATCTGATTCTGTTAGTAATAAAGGTAAACTTTAACTCACCTTTTGGATGGATCATATATAAAAACTTTTTTCAGAAATTCAATAGTTTCAGTACTCTGTGGGTAGCTTCTTTTGAAGAATATATTGAGACAATTGTATCTAAAATAAAAATTAATATACATAAATACTGCAATAAATATAAATATTTGTAATTTATATTTATAATATATTCTTAACTAATAGTTAAAATAAACAATTTTTCAGTAAATTTTAGAGCTAATCATACACTGTAGTTGTAAAGAAGAAATTTAATAATAAGTTTATTAACAAGAACATTCCTAAAATATATAATTGTATCTAAAATTTTATTTTACAACAGTCTATAAAACAGAGAGTAATAAATTGGTCAGGTCAGATCCTGCAAGTTTGTAGTAATATTGCTTATTGAAAATAGCATCCAATGTTGAACAAATTTTTAAAAGAAACAATTTTAATGATTCCCATTTAAAACTAAATTACATGCAAACAAATATACTTTAGATATTGTAAAAAATCTTAATTACAAGCATTATCTACTGTAACTAATTTGAATTACTTTATGCCTAACTATAAAATAACAAATCAAACAATGTATTTTTATAAAATTGACTCTTTAATTACTGCGTAAGAAAATTAACTTTATTAGAATATTTTACTTTTAAGAAATATGTACTCATGAATCAGCAAAAGTAATTTCCATAAGTCCCAGTAAACCTGAATTAATGATTTCTATTTTAAAATAAATTATTTTCAAACAAACTTACTTTAGATATTGTAAATTAGCTTAGTTACAAGCATTCTCTGCTGTAACAAATTTGAATTACTTTAAGCTTAGCTATAAAATAACAAATCAAACAATTTATTCTTACAAAATTGACTCATGAATTATGTCAGAAAATAAACTAAATTAGAAAAATCTATGTTCTAGAAATATGCACTTATGAATGACGTTTAAGTAATTTCTATTTCTTTAAGTCCTAGTAAATCTAAATTAATAAATCCTATTATAAAATAAATCACTTTCAAACAAACTTACTTTAAATACTGTAAATTATCTTACAGGGGTGATTGTGAGCCCAAGTCAAAATTCCAAAAAATTTCTTGAGTAAAAAAAAGGAAAAAAAAAGGAAAAAAATTAGAAAAAATTTAAACAAGTTTTTTTTCCTTTTTCTCAATATTTTTTAGTTCACTTAAAATATATTTAAAATTTTAAACATACTAATGAAAGACCTGGAGAAGTAATTGAAATTTAAAAATATGTCTTTCCTTCTTGAGTTTATGATTATAATAACTATTTATTGATAAAAAATGAATATTAATCTTGAATATAAGCTTATAAAGTAGCTCTGCTTATAAACATATAAAATAAACTGTGTTTTTAAGTTACACCTTTGAAAATGGAGTTCCAAAGTACATACTAGGAAAAAAATATTTACAAAAAAGAAAGTTGTATCATAAAATTCCAACCTCTAAATCATTTTAAATACAGGGTGGCCACTCAAATCAGGTTTCAAATTTCCCTGATTTTTCCAGGTTTTCCAGNAAAATTCCGAAAAATTTCTTGAGTAAAAAAGGAAGAAAAAAAAAAAACAGGAAAAAAATTAGAAAAAATTTAAACAAGTTTTTTTTCCCTTTATCTCAATATTTTTTAATTCACTTAAAATATATTTAAAATTTTAAACATACCAATGAAAGACCTGGAGAAGTAATTGAAATTTACAAATATGTCCTTCTTTCTTGAGTTTATGATTATAATAACTATTTACTGATAAAAAATGAATATTAATCTTGCATATAAGCTTATAAAGTAGCTCTCCTTATAAACAAATAAAATAAACTGTGTTTTTAAGTTACACCTTTGAAAATGGAGTTCCAAAGAACATACTAGGAAAAAAATATTTACAAAAAAGAAAGTTGCATCATAAAATTCCAACCTCTAAATCATTTTAAATAAGACATACAAGAATTCGATCTCCGGAAACTTCCGGATCAGGGTTGGCGAAAAATCCGGATTTTTTCTGGAGCACAATCAGCCCTGATCTTAGTTACAAGCAGTCTCTACTGTAACTAGTATGAATTACTTTATGCTTAACTATAAAATAACAAATTAAACCATCTATTCTTATAACATCAACTAATGTATTATTATATGAGAAAATCAACTAAATTAGAAGAGTTTATGTTCGAGAAATATGTACTCACGAATGCGCATTAGTGATTTCCATTTGCTTAAGTCCTGGTAAATCTGAGTAGCCCTAAAAGCAAATGAAATGCATATAAGTTACTAAGCAACATGGACCAATAATTAAAAACATAACAATTTCTTTTAAGACAAAATATGTTTTGAATATGAAATTTAAAAAAAAACTTGATTGTGACTAAAAATAACTTTATGATTCTGATTCCACATAAAATGTTTTGAAAAATTCCTCAGCAAAAATGTTGGCAGATATGTTATAACTTTTGCGTACCTTAACCTAAATTTCATGTCACATTTTTGCCTTATTTATAAAAGCTATATTCGTTGAGAATGGTTTTGTTAAGGGGAAATTATTTATTAACGAATTGAATATTTCATTACAGAATAGAAGAAAAAAGAGAGTTTATACAAATATTTATAGCATTTATCTACAGGGAAAAAACCAATTTGAAAAAATATCTAGCGTAGTTCTGAACACATACATTACAAATTCCCGTTTAAGTCAAACAATAGTTAACATTTTTGACACAACTTGACAACAATGAATCTTCAACTCATAAATTCACAAAATAGCATGATTTTTTTTATGTACCACACCATGATGTTAAACACATAGGTATTTAAAATCTATTGTCTATGCGAACTGTTTATTTTAGTTACGTTAAATTGCTCAGTATCCATGCTTAACGTGCAAAAATAAAATTCTCGAAATTTAAAAAAAAGATCCCATGACCCAGTATTTACTAAAAGAAAAAAAAAAGTTGCAACATTTTTAAAAATCTTTGAATGTATGCATTCATTATAAAATTGATCTATTGGTTTTAAATCAAATTCTACTTCAAAAAAAATTAAACAATTAATGCTTTTAATAAAACATTTCAAGGGTAACAAATATATCAGAATGATTTTAAAAAATTTCACATTCACATTTTTCCCTTAAAAAATTAATCTAATCAGAAAAGACTAATTTTTGATAATAACAATAAATGACCATAATACATACAACTTTTAAAAAATTTAATTGCATACATAAATTGAAAATAAAGTATAATTGGAGAAGCAAAATAATCAGAAAAAGGCTGAAAGACATGATGTGAAAAAACTCAGATGATGTGATCAGAATTTATTACAAAATATTATAAAACATTTCAAGGGTAACAAATATATCAGAATGATTTTAAAAAATTTCACATTCATATTTCTCCCTTAAAAAATTAATCTAATCAGAAAAGACTAATTTTTGATAATAACAATAAATGACCATAATACATACAACTTTTTAAAAATTAAATTGCATACATAAATTGAAAATAAAGTATAATTGGAGAAGCAAAATAATCAGAAAAAGGAAAGACCTGATGTGAAAAAAATAATATCGCTATTATCAAATCAGGATGACAAACACTCAGAAAAGAAATTCCCTGATTTTTTCTAACCAATTTTCCCCGATTTTTGTAATTGAAGTCACAAATTTTATTGTTATCTTTTTCAATTTTGTCATATTTTTATACTTATAACATATTACAAGACAATTAAACTTGTTACTAAAATTTAAATAAAAATTTTTTTTGTAAATAAAAAAAAAAAAGATCACTACAAGACTCATTTTGTTGAAAAATATATTGGACTTCTATGTACCTTAATTTCAATTTCAAATTAATTTTGCTAGACTTTTTTTTATTTTTTATTAACATATTCTGATTTCTGCAAACTTTTTCAAATTAATAAAATTTTCTGACTTTTCCAGCCTGTAATAAAAGACTGCAAATATCCAACAATTTGATTCAAATTGAAAAATTAAAAGATGAAGGTAAAAAATAGAAAAAAATGCTTTGTTGCATTCTGAATAGCTAACTAGGTTACTTGAGGAAATTGAAAAATATGCGAAAGAGTCAAATAAAGGTTAGTTTTCAATAATCTAGAGTTGAAAACAGTAAATATGCTGCTTAACATTTCACGGTAATTCAGTGGATCACCTCTCATAATATAAAAATTCCATGATTGTTGTATGCTGAACTGGGATGAATCATTCTTAAAATTAGATAAATCGATAATTGTAAAGCTACAAAACTCCACACTACAAGATTTGTTACTGCATTTGTTGAAAATAATAAATGAATGTTAAGATCCTTGAATTCATACATAAAAAAAAATTGATAATACAAAATTGTTATTTGAGTTTCATTCACATAAAATGACTGAAATCATAAAAAATTTGAATCAATCGATACTGTGGGTAAGGCTACATGCCAGAACCATGCGAATAATTTCTGAATGATCTTCAAGTTTGAACTATTGACATTTGTGATTTTTTGAAGCATTATTAATTAAAATAAAAAATGCTGCATAGAAGATCTAAATCTTTAAACTTTTAAAATTGCTTATTTAAAAATATGCATTTGTATTAGTAGAAATGTGATCAGGGGTCTGTTTAGGTTTTTCTGAGAGGTACCTATTATGTGAAAATTTAGACATAATTTGCGAAAATTAAAAATTATATTAGTAAATCAACACAAAAGTATGATAAAAATATGGATTTATCGCTTCTTACGGGATGCAAAAATAAAATTTTAAGATAAAGTATTTTGTGAAACTACAATTTTTCCTAAAGTTGAAATTGTGAAGGTACCGCTAAACGGTAGTAAATTTGGCCTGGACAGTCCCCTAATGTTCTAAACATATACTAAAATAAGGACAAAATAACACTAGTAGTTTTTATTAGACAACAGCACAGTCTGTTGGCAATCTGAGCAGCTAATTTTGAAATTTGGAAGAAATAAATTAATTGGTTTTCTAAACAGCAACACATTTTTAGTTTTTCTTTGATCTATTTTTGATTAATCTGGTGTACAAAAAGAAAGTAAAGTAATACAACTGAATGCTACATTATTTCCATCCTTTTTCAAATATGAATTACTTACAGGCCATAGATTATTATTTGGAACACCCAATATATTAATAATGTTTTGGTATATAAGCTCATAAGTGTTCCCACAAAATATATTGCTTTCACGAAGCAGCAGTTCACAAATAAGGCAACCAGCGGCCCTAAAAACAGAAAATTAAAATTAGTAAAATATAATTTAAAAAAATCAAAATAAAAAATTTTATTTTCAAAAACCACGTTTTTGTAGTGGAGAATAATATTTAAAAATAAAAATTTGAAAAACGTGGGGAGCATGAAATACATAACAGTAATGTTATATTAGAGTGTGTATGTGTGCTCATGAGAATATGTGTACGTATATCTGTAATTGTATCTAAATGTGGAATATGATTGTGTATATGCATGTGTATGTGAATGTATATGTACATGTGTATGAGTAAGAAAATGTGTATATGTACTGTTATGTATTTCATGCGCCCCACGTTTTTCGTTTTTCAAATTTTTATTTTTTAATTATTATTCTCCACCACAAAAACGTGGTTTGAAAAAATATTATTTTTTATGTTGTACTCACTTCTAAAATCTCAACTTTCTCACTAACTGTACACAAAACTTTTAAAATTGTGTGAATATGAATCGCTAAGTTTTACTTTGCAGTTGATTTTCTGATGTTGTATTAGTAACATGTTGTAAGAAAAAAAAGGTTTATGGATCATTGATAGTATATCAAGATAATTTAAAATTTTTTTGATAGAATTCAGATTATATTTTTAAAGCTATAATATTGATTAAAATTTTTTAAAATTTCAGAATCAGATCAAACTTTTTGTTCAGATGAATAAGTAATTAACAAAAACAGAAAGTTATGAGTTTATATTAATAAAAATAAAGCAACAGGTTTCTAAATTTAGAGTTTAAAATGCAATAACTACAGTTTTGAGATGCACCTTAATGCTAAGGGTAATACCAAGGATAAACTGGGAAAAAAAGAATGTAAAAGTAAATAAAATGAAAAAAGTCCCCAACGCACCAAGGAAGGTAGGATCAAAACAACATATAATTGATTTTAACTAAGGTTATTGATCAAGGTCATTTAATATCAGTATTATTTATCATTGATACACTTCATCTAAATATATAGAAAACTAAATACCATATATCAACAGCTGTTCCATGTGTTGCAGCTTTCAAAATAAGCTCAGGTGCATGATAACTGAAAAAGCAAGGTATATTACAGAAAAAATTCATTCCACATATTACAATAAGAAATAAACTTTACCAAAAAGTTGATATATTTTCACACTTAAGAAATAAAGTTGAATTGAAGTCAAGTTTTAAACTTTTAAAGAATATGTGAAATTGTTGATTGTAATTATTGATTAAATTGTAATTGTTGATTAAGTTTAATTTTAAGTCTCAATGTTCCCTTGTTGAGGGCAAGATCCCTCGAACATTGTAAAAAATTTATATTGAAATAAATGTTTGCTTAAAGAAATAAATATTTTTCAAAATTATATTCTTTTTATATGAGAATAATTACATTTATATTAGATAAGTACAACACAATTATAAGTACAATATAATTATAAGTACAATATAATTTATAAGTACAACATAATTATAAGTACAACATGATTATAAGTACAACATGATTAAAAGTACAACATGCTTAAAAGTACAACATGCTTAAAAGTACAACATGCTTAAAAGTGCAACATAATTATAAGTACAACATGATTATAAATACAGCATAATCATAATAAGTGTAATCATATTGAATAATTACATCACGTTTTCATGGAAAGCAATTAATTGTTAAAAATTATGAAACTTATACAAACTCAAATCAGTTTCTTCAACAAGGAATGACATAATATTTAAAAATAGGTCTTTATTTCATCATTTTTAAAAAATTATACTAGTTTGAATTCAGAATGGTTCTTAATTCAGGTGCTCAAAAAATTTAAACAATTTGGAATCACCTATAATTTTCAATTACACTAAGATAGAAATTTTATATTACACAAAAAAATTTAGCTCTGTTCTTTAATACTATAGGCAGAAAATTTTACAAATAAAAAAAAAAGGCACTAAAACTTAAATACATACAAATATATTACAAAATATTATAAAATACTTTTAAAACATACCCTGATACTTCAACATAAAAATTAATCTTTATTCTTATCTTAGAATTACTTAATTATAGACAAATAAAATATATTATCAAATTACTTGGTTTAAAGCTTTTGTCAAAATATCCCACAAAATCATTTTTATATTATTCAAATTTAAAAAGAGAGTTTTAAATTATTTCTTATCTTATTAATATATTAAATGTAGACACTTTCTTTTAAGAAAAAGAGACCACTGCTTTAAAAAAAAACACAAAAAGTATATCTGAACAAATGTTTATCAATTACAATCAACAATAAAAATCATAAATAAATTTAACAACCATGACACACATAAGGTAAACACATAAGGAAAGGCACACAAGGTAAAAAATTATCATTGACACACAAATGTTTAAAAATTTTTGAATAATTTACTTAAGAAAAAAAAACATACTTTTTGCAAGTGCTCTCTAATTTCATATCAGGATTATCCAATTCCCGTGCATTTTCAAAATTAGCTGAAAAGATAAAAAATTAAATATACTATTTTAACATTCATAGGAAAAAGGTTGTAAAAGAAAATTTTTTACCAGTCTTAAATTATAAGGCTTTAAGTAGAGATTTAAAAGTGAATTTTAAAAATGAAGTAAATATTTTAAAATTACAATGAGCAGATAACATTTTCAAAATTGGCTAAAAAGATAAATTAATAAATTATCTTAACATAAACTTTATATAGAAAAAAGGTTGTAAAGGAAACATTTTTACCAGTCTTAAATTATAAAATTTTCAGTAGAGGTTTAATAGGGAAGTTTAAAAATGAAATAAATATTTCATTATTGCAAATGCAAACATACCAAGCTTTAAAATCCCATCTTTTCGAAACATCAGATTTTTTGGGTTCAGATCCCTTAAAAGAAAAATTAAAATATAAAAACAATATTAATAACTAAATTATCCAAAAAAAATTTAACAAAACAATTACAAACTCATAAATACACACTAAGTCTTTTAATAAACTAGCAAAAAACAAACAAACCTTAATTTAGAAAGAATGATTGATATTTTAACATGGGAAAAGTCACCAATAAAATAAATGAGCTAACATAATTTTATTAACATAAAAGTCAGCATTTTCTATATTTGGTTACTCTTAACTTATATAGGTTTCATTCATATTACCTAAAACATTGATTTTGTTTACATAATACTTATATTTAGAGAAAAATACTGTCTTTTACAATTTTTTTTAGGTCTTGTATCGTTATCTAAAATAATAATTTTATTGTAATAATGAGAAACTTTTTTATTTATTATTAAAAAAAAACTCATTTTATAAATTTCTATAAAAATTTCCCGTGAATAGGTAACATCAATTATTTTACTATACTATTGGGCCTAAAACTATTTATAAATAAGCAATTATATAATTCGATAATTTTTCAAAACATTTGTTACTCGTATATTTTTGTACAATTTGTCATTGTAATTCGAGAAAAAAAATTTGTTTTATGTTTGATAATGAGCCAAAAATCTTTCTTTTAATCACTGCAAAAAAATTTCTGATTGTTATGTATAACAAGATATTATTTATTATTTCAAAAAAACAACTATCCATGTTTTTGAAACTGGTAGCTTCTACATTAAGACTAGTTAAGACATTATATTACTTAACTAAATTCTACTATTTATTATATATTACTAAAATATTCTAGTAGCTATTTAAACTTTTTTTATATGGTAATAAACTTATTAATTGTATTCAATGGAATATTTTTAAAAAATGCTGTACCTGTGTACTATATGATGTTTGTGAATGTAGTCCAAAGCTCGAAATGTTTGCATCATTATATTTTTGACCTACAAATAAACAAAATTGTATAAAATATAAATGTGCTGAACAAAAATTGACATTCCTAATATGTTAACCCTCTTCTAGTATTTTCTGAACCAGAAGATTTACTTGACAGCATTGTTAAATTGAGTTACTTTCAATTTTTCTTGTTAAGTGCTTTATAAAAATTAAGTAAGAATTTTTATTTTTAGATTTTTTAAAAATAGCTTTAAAAATAGTCAAGTTTTCAGGGAATCATCCTCATGAATAACTACTAACAAGCTAATGTAAAATAAATTAAACATTTTTAAAACATTTATTCACACATTCCAAAACTTATATTCAAAAAATAATTTGTACTATATAAGCTTAAACAAAGCAATTGTACTTTTACTAAGGTTACCATAAAAAAATGTAACAGTTGACAGGTCAAGACAAAAGAATTGAAGTAAAAAAGAAAAATTAGATTCCATCTCACCACAGCTTTATGAAATAAGGCATCAACTTTCTGTTCTATCAAATCAGATAAGAAAAGATCACAGCATTCAAAAATAAGATAAACACTAAAATTGAAAAGATTTTTAAAAAAAATTGTAACATAAATATTTATTCTTAAAGAAAAATATTGTACATTATTAGAATAACATGACTTTACTAATTACTAACATTTTCAAATGACAACATGCACTGTTATCATAACAAAACTTTAGTGCCCTTTAGTTATTAATGAATTTATATAAATACATTCATTCATTGCATAGAATTCATTGTAACAAAATTATCAGTACTAATAATTTTTATCAAAGTTTTACAAAGAGCTAAAAAAAGAGATTGTTTTAAAAAAAATGTTTATATGATTTAAAGCATGCCCCCCAAATTCACCATTTAAAAATTTTATTATTATTGTTGGATTAATTATTTTTTAAATCAGATGAAAGAGATAAAAAAATTAAACTACAAAACATATGATCCCTGAATTCATCATCATAAAAATTTCATCAGTTGTTAAATTAGTTTCTTTTCTGATAAGTTTTCTCCAAAAAGTTTGAAATTTTGCAGATAAAGCAACAAGTTTGAATCATGAAATTATACAATTATTTAATAACCCCTAACTCTACCTATGGAATTTATCAGAACTTACTATATTAGTAATTTAAAAATATACATTAGTAATTTAAAAAAATAAAGAATAAAAAAATTAAATATTCCAATACTTATAATTGATAGCAGTGTTTTCACTACAGCGCGAGAACGCGAGAATCTCGCATATTTTTTTCTTTTCTCGCATTAAAAAATTATTACCGCGAGAAATTCGCGCATTCTATAAATCAATTTCAAAATTCGCGAATTTCTCGCATTTTGGAAAAAGCCTCGAATTACGCCCTTTAGAATAAAATCCGTTTCACTTTTCTTCCTGGATCTTTCATTATTTTCAACATCTGCCCTGATATAAAGCTTCCCTATTTACCAGTATTGTTCAGAACCTTTTCGAACAACAGAACACAACCACGGAACCCCTTTCAGAACACATTTCTCTGCAACCACGTGTTTACCGTAGGTAACGTTTCTTCATGTAAGACGTTTAAATTTTTTATGTGCTAATGTAGATGTAATGTAATGTAAGATGGACAAATGCCTTGTAAAGGCAAAATCTTCTATGATGATGTACCAAAAATATTCAATGCTTTAAAAAATAGAAAACATTAGAAATGTATTATAATTAAAGAAATGATTTTTTTTTCAAGAGTTTTTGTGATTTTTTAGTTTTTAGAAATCTCACTTAACTTTTTGAAATCTCACCCTGTTTTTGAGAAAGGGTGAGAGATTCTCACTCATTTTTTTTCCATGATGAAAACACTGGATAGGTTTAAAATTCACATTAGTATTCGTAGAGAACAGGATGTTCTAAATAGACACAAAAATTAGGAAAAGCAGAGAAAAAGAAAGAAATTCGGACAAAATATTTTTATCACGAAAAATAGGAATTTATGGTCATTTGCTGTTAGTGAACTGACCACAATCAATGATCATAAACTGAGGCAGAAGAAGAAAAAAATCATAACTAATTCTAATTCAATGATTCAAAAAACTTACTTCTCTAATGTTTCTCCAACAGCAGGTTCGTAAAATTCCATCACATTTTGATCTTTGAGGAGTCGAACAATTTGAATTTCTCGTCGCAAGATAGCTAAATCTGAATATTTTATAATTTCACTTTAAATGAAAAGAGACGTATATAACTCTTAAAAATTGTTTCCATTAATAACAGAGTATTATAATGAGCACTATAGTTAAAATTCAGAGCAATTTAATAATTGACAGTTGAATAGTCTTTTATTCACTTTTTTTAAATTTTAAAAATCTATTTTGAAGACCACATAATGACATTGCATTAAACAAATGAAACTTTCAAGACAAAGCTCACCTCATGATTTGTCTAACGTGACAAGACTACAGAACGTTCAATTTTTAGTATTAATTTTTAAAAAATTACATTTTTGAAATTTGCATTAAAAAATTAACACTTTTTGAAACTACAAATTTATTATTTTAAATCATATGTCAAATAATAAAATTAAAAGAATATTAATATACTGTAATAGCATACACATTAAATATAATGTCCCAATTAACAAGATATTGAAAAAAAGTAGGTTGGATAAAAGACATAAAAAAGAGAGGCATAATTTCAAGTTAAAATTATATCATTTGGATTTAAAATAGCTACTTGGATTGTTCAATAAATAATAATAAAAAATCTGATTAACTCTAGGGTGTTAAATTTATAATTATTTATGTAGTATAATTATAAAAAACTAGAAATTAGTATTTTTAAGTTCAGATATTATTATCAAATATAAACGTTTCTAAGTTTGTTTTTAAATTTAAATATATAGCTAATTTTCAATTATTTAATTACAAATACGTTTAAATTTTTAAGTTCTTTTGAGGGAAAATTTTTCAATTTAAGAAAGTCTAAAAGCTGATAATATATTAAGAATAAATATGTCTTAGAAACTTTTTAAAATGGTTAACATTACAGCATTTACAATTCAAATTTGTTTTAATAATTTTAACAACATCCTGATCTATTTTGAATCGAATAAAATTTTTCTATGAATAAACTTACAAGGGTCTCACAAGGCAAACATTTACAATATCACATTTATTTTCCAAGTTGAAATATTAACGTTGAAAATAAAACCCAAATCAGAATTAAAATGAAGAAGCATTAATAGCAACTACAAATATTACATACAAAAATAATTTACCTTTCTCAATATTATTTTTATCTGCGCTTTTTGACTTTTTAACACAAACTTCTATATTTTTTCTCACATCCAAACATTTTCCTGAAATATAAAAAGAAAAATTTCAGAGACAAATCAAAACCAATAAACCTAAGAAGAATAAATGATCTAAGTTTTCAAAACAATGTTATAATTTTTTTTGCCAGCAATTTTAAAACAAAATACTTTAGTGTGCTTAAATGAATAAAACTTTTAGATACAGGTAAAGCTTGAAAATTTATTTTAAAACTTTTGAAAATATAGACATAAACTAATATATTAACACATACTTAATCAGAATGCCTTTAGTGAGATGGTTTATTTGAGGGAATAAATTAGTATACATAAAATTGGAATTGAACAATTATTTAAGAGATTGAGGTACAGAAAATGCAAATAATACCTCAATATAACAGTGTTTCACAACTAAAATTAATGATATTTTAAAACCAATTTCATTACATTTTGTATAGTTAAAATTATAATATTATTAATGTATAATATTAAATGTAATATTTTTCTTAAGTTTTCATTATTGTCTGAAATAGTAAGCTTAAGTTAAATTATTTTGATTTTGGTCTCACTTTTTAAAAAGACAACAGATTAAAACATAATTCAAATAACACATACTGTAAACCCAAGATGTTGTTCCTTTAAGCATAGATTTCTTTTCAAATTCAACGATCCGACGGCAACCACCATACTGAAAAATAATTAATATACTTTAAAACTTCTCAGAACAGTCTGCAATTTTAATAAAAAAGAAAAATAGGTATCTATAAATAAACATAAATATGAATCTATAATTTAAATCAAAATGCTCTAAGACTTGATTTTCTTAAAAAATAAAATATACAAAAAATTCATTAAATAATTTATGAGTAAACAAGTTCACATAGATGGTTATATAGTTCTAGAGCCTTTATTATTTATTTTGTATTCAAGATTTGATACAGTGCTATAGAGACACCTAAATTGACATCACAGTCTATCAACTAAAAATGTATAAATACTGAATCAGTGGCAACCGGTGATCAAGAAGACACTAACCACAACCTTTTTAATACATTTGAGAAAAAAAATTTGCATTTTTGAATATTAATATGTCGCAGTAATAATTAATTAAAAACAAAAGCAATGTTTTATTTAGAAGTAAAATAATGTAAATGTCTTGTTGTCATTAACCATTATTAAGATAATTTATTGATTGATACAAGGCCAAAGATCTGGTTCAGCTCTAAGGCTAGAAAACCGTGTTGATATTTCATGGCAAACCATTAATCACAGATAAATTAAAAAAAAAAAAAAAAAAATAGAGGTTTCAGAATTTTAACATATCCAAGTAAGCAGGGGGAAACATCTTACACAGGGTGCGTAGCCAAATCTTTGAATCAAAAATAAGCACTTTTTAAAAACTTTTCAAGCACTTTACAAAAATTTTCAAGCACTCAAAAAATTCATATTCAATCAATGATATTATTGAAAAACAAAAAATTTTTATAAACAGTTTTAGCATTAAAAAAAAAAGAAGAAACGGGCGTAAATCAAAACAATCAGTACTTTCCCACATCACCGAGTGAATTCAACTTGACCCTGAACTCAGAACAAAAGTACCCTTACCCCCTACGTCAAAAAAAGTGTTAGAAGTAAAATAAAATAAACAAGAACAAAATTAAAATAAATTAAAAAGAAAAACATTTCATAAGGATCTGATATTCTCTATCCGAATTGGAGCACTCGGGTTTCGGTTTCATGTGTGCGCGCATGCAAGTCATAACGTGGGTACGACACGAAGTCCGCGTGAATAATTACGTAACAAACTCCCCATTTTTCGTGAAATACATGGGATCCACCAGATATCACTGAAGGGAAGAAAAAAAATTATTCGGAAACAAAGCACTTTTTAAAAACGCGAGCTGAAAAAAGCACCTTTAAAAGCTTTTAAAAATGAAATCCCCAAAAAAGCACCTTTAAATACTTTTTACAAACGCTACGCACCATGTTACAAAAAAGATGCGAAATTTCCATCTAACACATTTTAAACAAACCAGGGTGGCCACTCAAATCAGATTTAAAATTTTCCTTGCTTTTTCCAGGTTTTCCAGATAAAAATCTTAAAATTTCCAGGTTTTTGTTTCTTTTTTCTTATAAAGTGTAGGATATGTACAAGAAAAGTGTCGGTATTATAAAATATTTTAATAAATTAAAAATATTATTTTTTTAACATATCATCTTGAAAAAAATTATTTATTTTGACAATTTGGCAAGANAAAATGCTCTAAGACTTGATTTTCTTAAAAAATAAAATATACAAAAAATTCATTAAATAATTTATGAGTAAACAAGTTCACATAGATGGTTATATAGTCCTAGAGCCTTTATTATTTATTTTGTATTCAAGATTTGATACAGTGCTATAGAGACACCTAAATTGACATCACAGTCTATCAACTAAAAATGTATAAATACTGAATCAGTGGCAACCGGTGATCAAGAAGACACTAACCACAACCTTTTTAATACATTTGAGAAAAAAAATTTGCATTTTTGAATATTAATATGTCGCAGTAATAATTAATTAAAAACAAAAGCAATGTTTTATTTAGAAGTAAAATAATGTAAATGTCTTGTTGTCATTAACCATTATTAAGATAATTTATTGATTGATACAAGGCCAAAGATCTGGTTCAGCTCTAAGGCTAGAAAACCGTGTTGATATTTCATGGCAAACTATTAATCACAGATAAATTTTAAAAAAAATAAAAAAAACCAGAGGTTTCAGAAATTTAACATATCCAAGTAAGCAGGGGGAAACATCTTATAAAAAAGATGTGAAATTTTCATCCTAACATATTTTAAATAAACATATTAGAAACAAATTTTTTTTCTACAAAATTTGTTGCAAAAAAACAAGGTTGCATTAATTATGTAAGGCAATTAATAATTTAATAATGGATTATTATTAAATGTTCAATCTGAGAAATACAGAACAGTATTACTTCCTCATATTGATGCATTACTAGTTTAGGAAATAAAATGTATTATTAGTGGATATTTTCATACCAGTATCAGATTTTGCCAACTGAACAAGTGAAACTACCAGGTTGTATTTCAAAAATTATTTCTTTCAGGGTCACCCATAACACTAAAAGGGGAAGAATGAATTTCAAGAAATTGTCACAGTTTGTGACAAGGCATTAAGAACTTTAACTTCATCAGATATATTTATACAATTTACTCTTTCTCTTCCTTTTCATCGAAAAGCTACATGCACAATCATTAAATATTTATGTAATTTATTTTTAATTTTCACTTCCTTTCCATCAAAAAGTCAAATGCGCTATAATTTTTATCTTTATTCTCACAAATGTCAGGTGAAAATGCAGTTATAATTTAAAAATAAAATTTGAAATGTGATCTACAGTTTGTCTAAAGTAAGAACTCCCCTAGCCATTCATCTGGACCCGTGACGGTGACTATGGTAACGAGGTATAACTATTTCAAGTAGGGGTGAGGGGTCACTGTTAAGGTCTTTTGGCTCGGGTTAGCGAGAGAAAGGGATTTTTTTTTTCAGTCTATTGTGTAAGCCCTAGAGTGAAGAGAAGCTACCTTCCATGAAATGCACTATTCTTGTTTCAATAGCAGCAGAGGGCTTCAGATTTTGTGGAGGAGGGAGTTTGTACTGTAGACAAACTATTAGTAGTGCTATGCTTCTTAGCTGCAAGTAATTATGAAATATACAATACACATAAATATACATGTGACAAGGGAGGTAGGAGAACATAGTGAAGTGTGACAGTAAAAGGAGGGTAGACAAAAATATATAAAATCAAGTGTGTCAACATAATTTATGAGTAACCAATTTTTAGAATTAAAATAAGAATAAGACATTATTAAAGAATTAATCTATTATTCTTTTAAACCAATAAAGTCATAACTAAATTATAATGCAGGCTGTTCTTATTTTATTTTGATTAGTGATCAGTTTGAAGTCAAGAATTAATGTATTTTAAACTATAAATAAGAATTGAAGAGAATTTTATAATAGGAGAAAGTACTTATTTCAGATACTCATAAGATTTATTTTCAATACATTGTATGCTATGAATAAAAGGAGATATTCGCGAATCGGCACCTCTGACAAAACAACCAGTATGAAAATATCCCCGAAAAAAACTAGATCATCATGAATAAAGCATAAATATAGGTACATGAATAGGCATACTATAGTTTTTTTTCTATAGACAAAAACATTTTGGGCTATGATACTGAAGGTTTTTAATTAATGGTACCGAAACTAAAGTACTATGAAGTACAGCGCAATAAAGTACTACTTTATTTGAAAATTTTAATGTTGGTTACTTTAACGTAAAGCATTTAAAAAGGTAAAAATTAATTAAATATCATACTATCTTTGATTTAGGAATACAAAATGTGCCCGTAAAGGATTTCAATTCTAAAGCTACATCAGCTTCATATTCAGAAGGCGGACACACGTCTAATCCAGGAATCATCATTTTGAAGATAAATTATTGAAAACGAATAAATAATTAAATTTGAAACTTTAGAATAATAAGGGGAAAGAACTTCACACAGTAATAACTTTGTATAACTTGCATTACCAACTTCTGATTTGAAATTTATAGCACACAGAAGTGGAGAGCGCTATCGACTGCCTATTATTCTCCATCTTAATAACTGTTATGTGGCAAAGGAATTCTTTAAATATCGCTTTTGAACTCTCTAATTTATTCCCTAGCACAAAAAACTATTTTAAAAATGGACATGAGCAGTTTAGTTTCATCTATACTCAAAGGTTTATCGTAAAACTAATTCGAAACTGCTTTTGCAGTGAATCCTTTTAAACCTGGGTATTACAAAAATAGTCAGTCGGAAACTTTTCTGGAAAATAAACGAACAAAATAAACAGGTGATTACCATAAACAAAAAATCGGTGGAGGTGGATATGGTAAAAGACTAGTAGTTTCAGAAGCAGTTATTAGGGGGATGTTATTAGCTATTAAAGTTTTATACCATGGATATTGAAGCTGAAAAATCTAGTCTTTATGAAAACCACTCCTCTTCCTCAAGCTCAAAAAGCAAAGGATGCGGTATATTTACCATTCGTCGACTAAAAAGAATTTTAAAAATTATATTTTCAGCTCACCTCAATATATGGTTGTTAGTATTAATTTGCTTGTTTGCTTTATTAGAACAATATCTTGTTTACAATGTTGGCATCATTCCTAGCGGCTTTTATAAAGTTCTGGGTGAAAAGGATTTGAACGGATTTTGGTTACAAGTTTTGAAAGCCTCTCTTATAATAATTGCCATCTGTTTTGTGATAAGTTGCAAAAAATACATAATAAACGTGTTTTATGTTTCTTCCAGAGAAGTACTCACTGACAAACTCCATTCTATGTATTTCAACAAGAATATATTTTATATTATGAATACTTTTAAGTATGATTTTACTGACAATCCTGATCAACGAATTACACAAGATATTGATAAATTTTGTAAACAGTTTAGTTCTGTCATAAATCCCTTTGTTATATTCCCCTTTACTACAGCTTACTATTCATACAACTGTTATCAATCTACTGGCTGGATCGGCCCAGTGGGGATTTTTTTAGTTTTTTTAATTTCTGCTGTTGCCAATAGATTGTTAATGAAGCCTATAATGAATCTTATTATAAAACAAGAAAAATGTGAAGGGAACTTTAGATTCAAGCACATGCACGTCCGTACGAATGCAGAGTCAATCGCATTTCAGGATGCCAATTTTTCAGAATTTTCTCGATCAGAAAAGAAACTGTTGCAGTTGATTGGCACACAGCAGTCTCTTTATTTAAGAGAATTTCCATTAGATATTTCAGTTAATATATTTAGTTACATCGGAAGTGTTATAAGCTATTTAATACTTGCTTTACCTATTTTCACTGGGAAATATGATAATTTAACTCCTCCAGAACTTAGTGCCCTAATTAGTGTAAATGCTTTTGTATCAATTTATTTGATATCTTGTTTTTCAAGCATTATAAACATATCAACAACTATAGGTGAGTTAGGAGGGTTGATTCATCGAGTTTGTGAAATATTAGATGCTATGGTTCCAAAAGATAAAAAAGAAACTTCTGATAAAGAATTTGAAGGAGGTTGCATTTTGAAGCCAAAAGCATTAGAATCTTTTGGTATGTATTTACTTCAATAATATTAAGTATGTTCTGTTATTTATAAGAATAAAATACATCTATTTCGTTTAGTTTAGGGGGACACATCCTTCTTAGAAAAAAAGACCTCAGAAAAAAATTGCTTCGGCGTTTGGAGATTGCCATGAAATTTGTTTTATAGCAATAAAAATTAATAAAATATAATTTTTTTTATTTATTTATGTCAAACTTTTATATGTATTTTTGCTGAAAAGGGTAAAGTAGATTTTTTTTTGTTTTTAATTTTTGAGATCTCTCCAACAGTCTTGGAAATAGTCACATAATCACACCTGGTTTTACTTCTATTTAAAGAAACAAACAGCATTTTAAAGTTCATGTGGCAAAAAAAAGGACAAGAAATGTGCTTTTATGCTATAGTTTTTTTTGAATATTACATTAAAATAAGCTTTAAACATTGCAAAAAATTTTAGTAGCTAGGTTATAAGGAAAAAAAAGTTAACTATTTTTTTAAATTTATTATTTAATTAATTTTTGATTTCAATATTAAAAGTAATATTACCTGATACATTGTTTATTTTTAATTAGTTTTTGTTGTCTTTTAAACTTTATTGTAATAAGTAAGCATGAGGTAAATAACTAGTTAAGGAAGGAGTGGTGTAACTACAATGATTTCAGCAGTTGAATTATGTTTAATTATTTCGCTTATGAATTAAAACTGGGAGAACTAGTATTATATTTACTTATTAGAAGTTTTTGAAAACAAGTTTTAGTTAAGATCTTCCTAGATTTTAAATGTTCATTTTTTCAAGCAAATTTTGATTTTTTTTCTTTTTACGAATTGTCTTATAATTTTTAATGTTCTATTTGCATTACATTCTATGTAATCTTGTACAATATAGATTAATTTAGTTTTTTTTTCTTCTATTGATTAGAAATGGAAAAAGAACCAGCAATTCAGTTGAGCAATGTTACGTTCTGTGCACCAAGAGATTCAAAAACATTGCTTTATGACCTTTCATTGGAGATAAAAATTGGAACCAACATGCTAATTACAGGAAATAGTGGCAGTGGCAAAACTTCTTTATTTAGAGTTATTAAAGGCTTGTGGCCAATTCTTGAGGGCCACATCATAAGGAAACTCCCTTTCCACCCGTCCACTATTTTTTTCCTACCACAACATCCGCTATTATCTGATGGTAGTTTGATTGAACAACTTGTTTATCCTTTGGGAATTACTGGAGGATCACAATTCCAGAAAAATGAAGAATTTATAAATCGTGTGATTAGGTAAACAACTTTATTCTTTTTTAAAAATTTCTATATCTAATCTTTGTATATAAAAAAAACTCTTATTTTTTAGTGGTAAAGAAGGCTTGTGCACAACTAGCCACAATCATGCAGTCCGTCATAAAATTTTAGAGTTTTAACCTCAATATTTCCTGGCCCACCATGAGCTGTTGCTGGAATGCTTTTTCAAATCTACTATCTTTTCGTATTAAAATATTAAAAATGAATTTTATTATCAAAATAAGAAAATATTGTTAAAATTTATGATTTCTTTAATTTGCATTTTCATTAAGCTTAGTGTTAAGACCGTGTTTATTGACTAATCATTTGGAACAGGTATGCGAAATACTGGAAATTGTAGGCGACTTGAACTATAAATTTATTGCCACTCAAATATCATTTAACAGGTTTTTCCACTGTGGTTATTAAATGCTTTATTTTAATAAATAGTCTTGAAAATTTGTCCAAAAGTAGGCTATTAAATCGTAATTGCGAAAGCTTATTTTTACTTTTTTTTGTTTAACATCATATTTAGAAAATCAGGCGTTGTGTAAATTGGGTGTTAATGTTAAAATGTAACTTAGTGGTAGATTATATAGCAGAAGACTGTTCACAAATCATCTTATTTATAGAGTAGGCATGACATACTGATGCTGTATGGATAATCTTATTACTCTAGGGGCATAGGGATGGGGTACCGACAATACCTCCTAGATGGAAGAAAGCCGAAGGACGGAAAACGATGACTCATACAGTTAGGCCCAGATTTGCTGATCACTTCTGACGAAGCTTCTCTTTTTCCCTTCTNTTCTAGGAGGTATTGGTACCGATCACTACATGGTTATTCACATATTTCCCGGTTATTACATTTGGTCTATTTTGATGCCATTTGGTTTGACATGTTTTTTTACATTTGTCAATGACTATATTGTTCAACATTTTCCTAATTCTTATAGTATTTGTTCATCTCTGTAATATAACTGATGTTTATAATGAGTTAGAAACTATATAAGAATTCAAATTAATTGTTGGAAAATCTTTTGTGAAAAATAAAAGACATTACCTTCTTGGGAACTGACTTTCCTTTAAACTTAACTCAAAGATAATTCTTTTCAAAAGGGGGAGAAAAAACTATAATCCTGCATTTGTAATTGGTGTACAAAAACAAAGTTTCTATGATTTTCTGTATGTGATCAATAAGGAAATTGAAAGTGGCATGAGAAACAATTTCTTTCCAAATATAAAAATTAAGTTGTCCGCATTTGTTTGTTTTTCTAAGTATGTATAATAAGTAACTGGGAAAAAAATTTCGCTTCAAATTCGTGCACTAATGTTACCAAAATAATAACCATAATATTTTCTTATACAATGCGGTAGTTTTGTGTTTTTGCATTACAGTTTTGGTTTCGTTATCTGAAAAAAATCAGCTGTTTGAAAATATTGTACTCTATACTCTATAAGGTGGATTCAGTGGCTGTCAACTTTCTAAGCAGAAGTAGAGAAAATTAAAGTTCGCTGTCAAACATCACCCACATTTTCGAAGGACCATAACTTGTTTTAAAAGACCAGAAATTTGAAGGCTATAAAAATATTTCCCTAGAAAGTCTTAGTTTAAGACCTTCAATCATGGATGAGGAGAGAAATTTTTTAAAACTAAACCATGGTGCGTAGCGTTTTTATAACGTGCTTAAAGGTACTTTTTTCATTGGATGTTTTTAAAAAGTGGTATTTTTCCCTTTTCAAAAATGAGATTTTTGTCTTTACCATGTCGATTTTCGTAACGTGTTATGAAAACTGTGCTATTCACATTGTTCTATTCACCGTTTTCACAATTAATTTGACCACAATCTATTTTGACGTATCGCCGGTCCATAGCGTATAAAAGCGTCAATGATTTTACAAGTTTGATTAAATACTTGGGAGTCCGCTTGTGCGTCAACTGAGCTATGTTCGGTGAGATTATTGCACTCTCATGTGCAACTCTGCTGCATTTTGCAAGATATTCTCAATTTCAGGCTTCATTTTCCACCCTCTGAAATGGAACAGAAAAATATCTCGAGCATTTTGTAATGATCAATATAATCAAGAAAAGCATTTATAACGACTAATAAAATCGATCATTTTATAACAGCTAATAAAATCTTTGTCAGAAACTAGTTATTTTATAATGACCATGTAAAGCCTTTGAAAATTATTTTGCATTTTGTTAACATATATAGTGCTTAAAAATATTTTTTGAGTGCTTAAAAAGTTACTTAAAAGGTGCTTATTGTTTGTTGAAAGATTTCTATACACACCCTGTAATTATAAATTGCTTTATTTTTCTACAGCTATTTAAGATTTGTTGACCTTGAACATCTACTTGAGAAAGTTGGTTTGTTTGATGAAGTCGAGTGGAACTGGTATGATGTACTATCTCCCGGTGAAATGCAGCGCCTCAGTTTTGTTCGCCTTTTCTGCCACCGTCCCAAACTAGCATTTTTAGATGAGGCAACAAGTTCCATTGGATTGCAGCTTGAGGAAAAACTCTACCGAAAATGTATGGAACTTGGCATTACTCTTATAAGTATTGGACATAGGTCAAGTCTTGCTCAGTTCCATAATTCTTTCCTACACTTGGATGGGGAGGGAGGATGGACTTTTAATTTAACTCCTGTTACGGAACTTTAGCAAATGTTTCTGATAAAAAGTATTATTTGATTCAGCATCTCAATTGGATACATTTGTGTCTTAATTTATTTGCGTCGTCAAATTACTTTTTGATTTTTTTTTTTTTACTGTAATTGTTCCTAAATGTTTACTATGTTAAGATTATTTTATGCCAAATCACAGGAAATTTGTATGTTTCAAAACATTTTTTGAAGTTTATTGATAAATTCATGTTTTATACAGTTAATTGATAAAATGGCTTTTTTTTTAAATCTTTTAATTTTGTTATGACCATGTTTTTATTGGGTTGATTTTATTCATATTATCATTTTGTTTGATGACCTCTAAAAAAAGAATGTATGATAATTATACTAAATCATTCACTACTTTCCGACTTTGATAATTTAACCATGTATTTAGGATCTGATCTAGAATTGTGGGGGCCCTAGGCATAAAACTGTCAGGGACCCCTTGGTCGTTGCTTTGAACTGAATTTACATGTTGTTTGATTGAAGTGTTTTTAAATTATTTATAAATTACAATATATCTGTAAATTTCAGCTTATAAATATTTAAATTTTTGTCATCTCATAGCTCTGTAGACAATTCTTATGGAAAAACACAAAAAGGAATAATTGTAACACTTAGGGGACCCCAAAAAATGTGGGGACCCTATTCCTGGGCCTCTCAGGCCTTGTGATAAATCAGGCACTGCCATGTAATGTATACCAACCCTTTACTATATACATCAAACATTTTTATAGTTTTATCGTAGCAAATTAAACTTTTAAATTTTCTTACTTTTCTAAATAAAAGTTATAACAAGAAAAACGGATTTGTTCCTACCAGAAATAAGCATATGTAATATTTTTCTACAATAAATTTTCTAATACAAACTTTCTAATAAAAATAATTTTAAAAAAAACTTAAATAAGAAAATATTAAAATTTTGTCTAAATGTACAGTGATCTTTAAACAACTTTTGAGGATAATGTAGGTTTTTATTTTTTTAAATTTTAATTAAAAGTGATTATTTAGTTCATATTTAATTTATGGTTAAGGTAAGGTCATAATCTAGGGTAACATTCTGAATACATTTAAAAAGATCTTTTAAAATTAGTTTTATTTTTTTTACTTAAAATTATTTAGATTATGTAAAAAGATATCAGCAGTTTTTATAGGATAGAAATTTTTGAATATGTAAAATATTTGAGTCTGTAATTTTCCAATAATTATGTCAAAAGAAACCACTTATTTTCAGGGATAATTTTCTTTGCCATATGTATGGGACACAAGTGCCAAATGTATGACTAGCATACCAAGAGTAGAATGATTTAAAATAATCTGTCTACCAGACAGTAAAAATTTGACTAAAAATTTTTTTTTTAATTTTTATAAACCACAGTGTTTCTGAGAACATGCATAATTGGGAATATTGAGTGTTATTTTTTTTTTATCCCAGTGGTATAGCCATTAGGGAGGAGGGTCATAACTAACTCCCTGTAGAGTTGAAAAATCTCAGAAATTTTAGCAATTAATTTTCAATAAAATAAAATTCTATGTTTTATTTTTAATATAAATACTTCCTTAAGCTGTGATGAGATTGTAATAAAATTGTCTCCTAAGCTTAAGAACCATTTCAAATGAAAGAAAATTTTTTAATCTTTTATCATGAATTAGAAAAATTCTTACTGTAATTCTTACGCTTTATCTTATTACAATTTATACTCTTTATTCTTACTATAATTTTTGAAACAGATTCGAACTCACTTATAATTTGTCCTGATTTATTAGACCCTGGATTTAGCAAAGAAATCTAAATACTTGGTTGGTACAATGTTAAGTCTTTTGGAGAATAGCTTGTCATTTAAGAGTATATCTTCTATTAGCGGGCAATGTTTTTGAGATTTGTAAAATTTCTACTTCATTTCACTTCATAATAAATAAATGTATTAAGTATATTTTTAATTATGAAATTTAATGATTTTTTTCTGGAACTTAGTTTCTACAAGTACTTAGTTGTAACGGGCAAATATTGTGATCTTTTCATGCTTATTTTAAGGGATTTCAACTGTAATGAAGCATTTATCACAACTATTGACTAATGAAAAATTTTTTGTTACATGTGCAATGTTTATTGCTGGGACCAACAGTTTTTCAAAATGGCTGACCACTCAAAAATCAAAGAATATTTTTAAAAAATTGGCCATTTAATAAAAATAAAGGTCAGAAAAGTAGGTTTTTTACTACAATATATCATCAAAGTGATCTATTAGCAAAATAATCATGTTAATAAAGTCATGTCAATAAATGTTACACCATTACGATATTTTATTTATCTCTATGTATACACATGGTGCGTAGCATTTTAAAAAAGTGCTTAGTCTCGTTTTTTGAAAGCCCTTAACGGTGCTTTTCTCATATGTTTTTTTTGGAAAGTGCTTAATATTTCCTTTTTGAAAATGAGATTTTTTTCTTTTGTTGATTTTCGCCATACATTATGCAAAAGCATGGTTTTCACATTGTTCTATTCATTGTTTTTACATTTCATTCAAGCACAATCGATTTCGTCGTACCGCTGGTCCGTAGCGAATGAAAGCGCCAATAATTTTACATCATGAAATTCTTACGAGTCCGCAAGTACTTCTTCTGAGCTGTGTTTAGTGAGATTCTAGCACTCTCATGTGCAACTTTGCTGCATTTTGCTAGATATTCTCAATTTCAGGCTTCATTTCAGGCTACCACTCACATGCTCATGAATTGCAAACATGTTGTGCCAAATTAATGATTACATTTAAACAACATAACAGTTAAAGTGCCTAATGTGAATAAGGTTATCATTTGCATATTTGATTCCTGACAGTTTAAGGAATATTACCTCTTAAATATCGTTTGTTATGCTAAACCATAAGAAAAAAAAAGAATTCATTAAAATAATTAGGTTTTCTTTATTTTGAATAGTGTCAAAAATGTAATATTAGTAAAGTGTTATTTTTTAATCTATGTGCAATAAAAAGCAAGACGTTGTATACAATCACATATTTTTGTTAAAATATTATTTTCCTGATTGAATGAAGCAATTGTTTTTATAAAGTTTTCTGTAGATTATAAGAAAGATGTTACTATTTTTGTATACATTTGTATTCAAATATATATTTATTTTCTACTATTAAATATTTATACTTTTTCTATACAATCATGTTTTTTTTATTGAAATAACTTTATGTTTTTGTCTTTGATTGTCAATATTATCCGATGGCTCAATATGTCTTTTTTATTGTATGTATAATTCATCAATAAAGATATTTTATATCTTTATTATCTAAATAATTATAGATTTTTTTTAAATTTTGTATTAACAGCATATCAAGAAGGTTGAGCTCATAAATAATGTAGAAACAAGTCGCAACAAAAGTCAAGTTCGAAAATAATTTACTCAAAAATATTTACAACCTAAACTGATTTTAAAAAAAAACATTAAAAATAAGTGTCGGTCTTGGTATTCATCAAACATTGCTTTGTACTATAGAGATACTATATTTATAAAGGTACTTCTAACCAAGATATATGATAAACAAGACTCAGATTCTTTAAAAAAAATTTCTCTAAAAATTTTTTGAAGAAATTATTGTTTTGATATGTATTCTTTAAAATACATTAAAGAAATAATTATTAGTTAAATTGTAGATATAATTATTAGTTATCTGTTAAAATTCATTGATTTTGGTTTTTTCAAACATGAAACATCCACTTACTTTAAAATTTTTTTTTTTACGGGACTTGATTATTTCAATGCGCTACTCCGATGTGAAACACTAATTTGCTTTTCAGCAAGCAATATCCTGCAAGCATTACACTGAATCTGCAGTATTAGCTCTTAATGTAATATTATTTGCAAGTTAATTCCTCCTTATTGTTCTCTCAATTTATTTCACTGAATGTCATGTGATAATAAATAAAAATTATTTATAAAAACTGATTCAGATAAAAAAAAAATGTCTGAACTACTCAGACAGGATATTTTTTTCCATTGCATGACCCATCTTCACTGTGTAGCAACTTCCAGGGAGAACTGATTTTTCACATTATAGATGTCAAAATGACGCCCAGTGGCTAAGTGGTAGCTCTTCGCGCTCCCGTGCCACAGATCCTAGGTTCAATCCTCGGGCCGGTAAAGGTTGACTCATCCTTTCAGTGGGTCTATAAATGAGTACCAAGCATGCTTGGGGACTGAACACTGAGGGTTTCGCGTTCGGCTTAGCACCTGATCGGATCATCTGCTCCTGCACCCCAGAACCCAAGATCAAGAAGACTGAGATGGGTGCAGTAGGCCTTGGTTCCTCTATGGGCTGCCGTGCCACTGAGTTTAATTTTTTTAAAGTTTAGTTGTCAAAACTACGTAGGGGAGAGTCGGGTAGCCCCGCCCACTTAAGGATATTTTTGTGTGTTTCTATTGTTTTATCATCTAATTAAATAATGCAAAAGGAATAAACCAAAAAAAGAATAGTTTAACTTAAAAAAATAGAAATTCAAAAAAACATGTTTTTTAGCTCTTTTCAAAATGTGTCGGGTAGCCCTGCCCAGTTACAAAAATTATGTTTTTTGACTGTTTTTTTAGGTGTAAATGAAAATGACCAATGTATTGACAATAGATAAACCTCATTTATCTTTTTTATCACAAAATTATTTTATTTATTGCATATTTATATACTTTTAGTGAATTCTATCATTTAATAACAATAATTTAATAATAACAACAATATTTGTTGTTAAAAATGCATAAAATATTCAAATTTGAAGCAATAAAATAATAATCTTTGCAACCGTACATTTATCGACGAAATAAAATTGGGCTGTGATACCCGACATTCATGTGAGCGGGGCTACCCGAAATCCAATTTTTTTGTAATTACTCGAACAATTTTTCACATATAAGCTTCGTTCTTTGTGCAAATTAAACTTAAGACTTCATACGTAAATGCTGTATGTATAGAAAAAAATTATTTTTTTAGTATTAAAATGAAGTTTAATCGAAACATTCAACCAATTTTTCTTAATTTCATGACTACTGCATTCAACATATTTTCAAAACTATTGTTTACCATGTTAACAGCTGCATAAATACTTGAAACCTTGAAAGTAATCTTTTTTTAATATAACAATGTCCGATGGCCCATTGACTTGAAAAAATATTCCATACATATATGAAATTGACGGTGGGCGGGGGGGCGGGGGTACCCGACTCTCCCCTAATCCTCAAAATGCAACAGATTAAGATTCAATCGTCATTTATGTGAAAAATTGATATAAACCGTTCTTCAAATTTGATCTTTAAATCAGAAATTATTACCAACAAAAATATTAATTTGTTCTGTTTCCTTCTAGCATGTGCTGCAGGTTCATTTACTTTAAAACCGGAAAAAAGGTAAGACAATTTTCGGACAGAAGGCTGTTTATTGTGAGTTGCGTAGTCACTCCTGGAGAACTATATAACATAAAATTGATCAGTCAAAAAAAAAAAAAAAAAAATTAAGTTTATCATTTTAACACTGAGAAGTTCTTACTGCTTATATATTTTACTCTTGATAATGTAGTAGATTATGATTAAGAATCTCTTTTAATTTATTTAAAAGTCTAAATAATCAATGCTTAATGTGATCACTTTGGGAAGCAATGATTTTGATTATATGAACTTGTTGTTTACAATGAATGAAGCACGAAAATAGATAAAGTTACCAGTTTTAAAACAAGCCTTTTCCGCATACCCTGGAACCAACTGCTTGTGACAACAAAATCGTTTTTAAACTTACAATTTTCCACTTTTTGTTGCATATATAAACGTTCTGTTGACAGTAACTTCACATTTTCGAGCCGCAGTGTTACGAGCTTTTTCAATTTGCTCATCTTTGTCAACTCTATTTCGTTAGTATTATGTCTTTTTATTTTGTTTTCCTCTTCTAATAAGATCATCACAATTTTTCAAAATTTCCAAAGTAGAGGATAAGAAAAGGTTTTGGCATTGCGTTGATTTTATTTTGATAAAACGATTTAATATGTTGATCTTTGGCAGCTAAAACGATTTTCGAAAAATAAATTAAAAAAAAATATTAATGACATAAACAATGTAGTGGTCACAGAAAGCGATAATTTTAACATACAAATGAATAGAGAAAATGCAAACCAATTGATTGTGATAACAATAGACGATTGATAAATTTAAACATGATCTCATTAAGCGGAGACTACTGTATTGCTTCTAATGACACTTGGACAAGCAAAGCTTGCTAGCCATATGCTTTTTGTGAATTAAAACAGGAAGGTGTGCCTTTCGTTTGACAAGAGAGCACCGCAAGGGTAAAAGTACGTCTTAGCTCAAAACCTCCCAGATAGATGGCAGAACCCGTCATTCATGAAGCCACTTCCTCAATTTTAACATAGATCTGAAGGGGAAGGGAATTTTTTATAGATCGTTGTACTCGGGGTCTGTTCAGCGACATACCTCAAGAGTTTAGATTCCACAGATTTTATGTGGAGTTTATCGAAACTATTAGGTCCCCCTGGCTTGAGTTCGATTCTCTAACCACTGGGCTACTACGGCTCGGAAACTACTATAAATGCTTTATACATTTTGTTATAGGCTGCAAAGCGTGTTATTTACTTTCGAGAGGGTACACCACAGTTAAATTTTAAAATCATAATTTTTTTGTTGTTCTGTAATGAACGCTATTATTATGCATTTTTGGAATTGCCAAAAATCTAAAGCACGTAGGATTAAAATTAATAGCGGACTACTGGACTGAAAACATGATCAAAACCTTTTTGATTGCCGGAAGAAAAAAAGCTGAATTGCGACTATTAAAAATATTTCGCTGTTTCCTTATACAATTAATCTGGTTTTTGATGATGTTCTGCCCGTTTTCCTCTCAAGTGTTTAGACTGATTTTGAATGTGTAATCGTTTCTCTTTTGCGTGAATGTTAGTTTTCTCCAATTTTGTTCATAATTTTTTTTTTTACTTCATTTTTAGCAAGGTTTCTAAAAATATACATTTTGTAAGGGTATAAAAGAATTTTTTTTTATATAGGTAAATGAAAAGTTTCTTTTTTTAATTTAATAATATTTCTCAGCTTTAAAAGTTTGAAGAGAACAGTTAAGTAAACTAAGTGAAATGTTTTAAATACTAAAATTTATTTTTATTATTATTATAAGTTAACTTTCATATTTCCTTTCTTTTAAATGAAAATTCTTTTAAAAATTTTTATTCAGCTTTTTAAAAAAATAATCGTTTTTTTTTTTTTTACAATGCCAATGTTTTTCCTTTTTTTTAAAAAAAGGAAAACAACTTAAATTTGAATCTGTGTAATTTCCATGGGAATTTAATGGTTACCCATATGATGTTGGTCATCTCACATGATTTTTTTTTTTTTGTTTATTTCATAGAGTTCTAATACTCCTCATATTTCGAATCATTATTTCAGATTGCGTGACTTATCAATTGCGGAGAAAATTTGATACATGGTAAAACTCTGTACTGTATAAAAGTGGAAGTTGTTACCAAGGTAACTGAACCATCTCATTTTTACAATATCTGAATTCTTCTGAGTGCCTTTCATTGAGTTTCCTTCATCGTTTCGCAAACTTTCGAAATGTTACGGAGAAATTTTATTGAAAAAGTTCGGCAGGTAAGACAAATTTCAATTGGCATTTTTTTTTTTTTTAAGAAATGCCCCGTAAAAAAATTTGAATTTTAGCCAAAACGGTTTTGCGAAAACTTGATGCATAATTGTGTACATTTCTTCCAGTAGTCAACAAAAGTCCATTTACATTGTTTTGATAAGGTGTTCCACAAAGATCACTCTTTATATATATTTTTAGAATTCTGGTCAAAAAACCAGTTTATACAAAAAGGGTTGCTGGTAATTTCTTAACGGAGAAACAAATGCGCTATTGAAATCTTATAAATCACTATTAAAGAAAGCGACCGCGCAAAGCATTACAATTTGTCTGATTACGAGTCGAAGTATGGAAGTATTTTTGACAATCGTCTTTCATCTTCTTTTAGTTATCTCCGGCAATCATTCTGATTTTGGTGTTGTGTACACCGCCTTTCCTAAGAGTGATCAGTCAAATTTAGATAGCTTTTTTATTTTATTTTTTTTTTCCGCTTCACAAAACCTACAAAAAATATAGTTTGCTATTGTCATAAATATCGTCTGTAAATACGAGCTTATGTCATAAATATCGTCTGTAAATACGAGCTTATGTCTTAAATATCGTCTGTAAATGCGAGATGACTCAGAACGCTCGTTTTAAAAATTTCTTAGGTTCGAATTCTGGTGATAGCTGGTCAATTCGTATAATGTTCCAAGCTTATACCGATCACAAAGCTGACATAAAATTAAAACTTGAAAACTCTGTCCTAGTTAAAAAGAGTATTCATTCAGATCATTTTCTTCATAAAATTACTTGTGTTGATGATAACAAATGCATTAAATGATCAAACAATTCGACTTCTTTCCATTAGTACTTTTAAAAATTTGTAAGAACCATGCAGACAATGTTGTTTTTTATTTATTTTGTTTTGAAATCTTTCTCTAACAATGCATATATGTCTGAAAATGTTTCACTAATTTTCTGTATTAATTGTGTTTTTATTTATTTTAATTTTCACAGACTTTGCCTCAATCTGTAAATATACTACGTTTGACTGTGGAGGTAATTTTTATATATTCTTTATTGTTATTTATACGTATTGATTGTAAAGATTTTGTATGATGTTATCTACTATTATTATTTTTATTATTTCTTACTAAAAAGTAATTAACCATTTTTGTACCTGGTATTGTTTCTGTTCTTGTTTCTAATCCTAAAAAAAATCATATCAAAATTGTTTCTAGAAAAATATGTTTTGACTGTCCTAAATTTAAATACCGATTTTGATCTGCCTTAGAGACAAATTTTTGATTATTGATGTAAAAGAAATAATTTTTGTTTTGAAAAGTACCTCTCAAATTTTTTAAGTATATTATTATTATATTATCATTATTTTTTCTTCATTCCATGGTAAACTAGCTTTTCTTTTTAGAGAAATTGTCGTTTAGTTAGTTTTGACATAAGCAGCTGCGTAATTTTTACCTCTGTTTGTTTTGTGGTTGGGAAATTTTTCTTTTCACGAAGAAAGGGAAGCGAATAAGAACTGTAGAAATGGAATGCAAATTCAAAAATAATGATCGAAACATTTTTCAAGTTATTTTAATATATTTTAATAAAACAGAAAATAGTCCCACCTCAAAACAAACATAGGTAAGAAAAAATGAAAACAATTAACAATCATTATAAAATAAAATAATGCTTTTTATTTCACAACTGTGTTTTATGTTAAGGAACTTGATAAGGAAGTAATTACAGTCCTTACTACTGGAGCTCCAGAAGCAGATGATAATTCTGTGGAATTTAATTACAAAGTAAGTATTTTATCTGAACCATTTTACATAAATAAATATTTGGGAATTTCTTTTCGTATTTATAAAATACTGTTTGTTGAAAAATTACCAATAATGTGTAAAGCCACTGAACGAAAATCAAAGAAGATTTAAATGTTTAGTTTGTTGGATTCTACCAAAGAAGCTAAATATTCGCCTCACTAAATTTCAAATCTCATTACAAAGTTCCTCAAAAAATAGCGCTCTTGACTATAAAATTAAATCAACATTTTCTGTTGCGTTCCAGGTAATTGCAGTTGAAAGATTTTTAAAGGGTATCTGTTCTCAGACTGATCTATTGTTGTGCTGCAAATGATTTTTATTAAGAATACGTGTAGTTTTCCTCTGTCAGCAGCGCCATCTGTTCACGAACTTTTCAACTTATTTGGAAACATGATGCGAAAAAAGTTTGAAGTTTCCTAAACAGAGCAGCAAACCGAATCTCTTTTTTCCCCTTCTGTTTTTTCAATTGAAATTTTCATTCGACGCTCATTTTTGGAGCGCGTGACGCATAGATTATATTAGAATAATTGGAAAATTACACGCTTTGATTCGACTATAAGACGAGCTGATTCTGGATTCATATATTATTCTCAAATTTCGCCCCTATGGAATGGTGGGTAATAAGTTTGAATAACTACTCTTGATTAATTAGAGTTAATAACGGCGTTCATACTAACTATTGATCATGTTATTATTTAGTAACTTATTACATATTTATATTGAGATAAATCAAAGAACAGGTTTTGACAAGTTTTATTTTTATTCAAAGCTAAATATTGAAAGAAGAACAATGCCATAAATTTTGAAGCAAATGATTCTATAAATGGCAGATCTTCGAAATCATTTTCTTTAAAATTTCCAATATTGAATTTTTTTTTTAAATTAAAATTAAGAATAAGACTAAGACAAAGTTCATAAAATGTACTAAATTTGAATGCTAATATTTAAACTATTTCTGAAGAAAATAAATCATGGTTTCTCTATTTTACATTATGAAACAAGAATTAATTTTCAATTTATTATAGGAAAGAGCTTACAGAGTTCGCGAAAATCAAAATAAGGCCATCGTATTTTTTCAACAATTTGGCAATATCAAAAGGATGTCCTCAGATGCAGATGAACAAGGTTTGTAAATTTACGACAGATAGTTAAGAACAATAATTAAAATTATCAAGTGAATTATAATTATTTATCAATATTTCAATCACATTTAAATAAATCACATGAATTGTTCTAATTAAATGTACTTTGTTTTCTTTATCTTTTCTTTAAGAAACAAAAAAGAGTGAGGATACAGTTGAAGAATTGGATACCAAGCGAAGAAATAAGTTCAATTTTTGTGATAGAGCAACCCAAACTCCGACATTTTTGCACATGGTAAGATTTTATTGTAATCTGAAAAAAAATGAAAAACGTCAGTGAAGATATTACGTTATATCTGTCCTTAATACAATGCATTTTTTAAATCCTTATCAATTTAAAGTCATGAAAAACAACCACATTTCCCAGACTATAAGATAGTTTTTTTAAAACTTCTAAATTGCAATAAAATTTTTGATTTCACTTATACATCAACAACGTATTCAGACACGAAGATTTTTTTTCTTCCGAAATTGGATACTTTATACTAAAAAATTAACCTTGACTAATAAATAATGGTTTGTTGTGCTCTTTTTAAGGAACCACATATTAATTTCAAAATTAGTTACAAACTTCGTCGAAAGATGGCGCTGTTACTAAGAAAACTATAAAACATGGTTTTCAAGTTGCATTATTTGCAGCAATAACGTAGTGTAGTGTGAGGACAATATTAATAGATTCCCGTGCAACTATTTCAATTAAAACGAACTGAAATGCACCTGGAAGCCTTCTTTTAGTTTTTTAGTTATGTGCACCGCCTATAAATAATTTCGAAATTTGCTCTTAAAAAAATCGTTTCCTTAGCAAAACACAGCAAACGGTAAATTTATTAGTTACTTCAGTTTTACTTTCATTACTTTTCAAGGAATCTGTTATTTTTTGGGATACCTGATATAATTAGAATGTCCTTTGAATATTTAAATGCTTTTTAATTTATTCAAAGTTTTTTCTCCTACTATATTTCATCCTTGAAGTATATTTGAACAATATTTTATTCTTATCTATATTCTAATATCGATGCGAGGGAACTATATTTTATCCTTACATATTCTAATATAGATGCGATAGAACTATATTTTATTCTTACATATTCTAATATAGATGCGATAGAACTATATTTTATCCTTATCTATATTCTAATATAGATGCGATAGAACTATATTTTATCCTTGCATATTCTAATATAGAGGCGATAGAACTATATTTTATTCTTATCTATATTCTAATATAGATGCGATGGAACTATATTTTATGCTTACATATTCTAATATAGATGCGATAAAACTATATTTTATCCTTACATATTCTAATATAGATGCGATAAAACTATATTTTATTCTTACATATTCTAATATAGATGCGATAGAACTATATATTATCCTTGCATATTCTAATATAGATGCGATAGAACTATATTTTATTCTTATCTATATTCTAATATAGATGCGATAGAACTATATTTTATGCTTACATATTCTAATATAGATGCGATAAAACTATATTTTATCCTTACATATTCTAATATAGATGCGATAAAACTATATTTTATTCTTACATATTCTAATATAGATGCGATAGAACTATATATTATCCTTACATATTCTAATACAGATGTGATTGAACTATATTTCATCCTTACATATTTTATAATTTAATTCACATCATACTTTTTTTTAAAAAATTTTATGTAGGAGAAGGAGACTGAAACAGTACCTACTCCTCAGTTTGTTTTTGAGGGCACAGTATCACTATCTGAGATAGTCAGTACTTATCAAGAAAGAGAGGTATAAATTTAGTTTTCAGTTTGCTTTTTCCATCTAATCCACGCATGTAAATATTTGTTATTTTATTTTATTAAACTGTCCGCTCTTCACGAATTGAAAAAACTGTAATTTGATTCTTTATAAATTTTAAGATTGTTTATTATCCCAAGTTTCAATGATCTCAGCCCTTAATTTCTACATAGACTGTTTTTGGTATAGGCATATTCTTTTTCTGGAGGATAGCTTTTTAACTTAAGATACTCTTAATTCTTTTATGACGTAAATGGCTTTCACTATATCTAAATCGAAGCAGTACATGATAAATGAAAAAAAAAGAAAAGAGAAAATCTTTTCCAATGGACAGCAAGGTGAAGGCTCATTAATGGAGTGGGAAAGCTTCGACTTGGGTGGTTTGCTAAACCTAGCCTCTCCCTCATCCCTATCAACAATTCTACCATGGCCCCCGTCGGGCTCTTGATTGGCTAAATATAGGTCCCATATGATCCTGCACCGATGAACCGATATTGGAATGTTTATATTTTTTAACATTGGTCCTATGTATGGCTTATGTCGTCCTTAATGGGTCTAGGGCCTATACTGACTGAATAATGAATAAATATCGGGTGAATCTGATACCATTTCGATTCTTTGTATTATAAAAAGCTCTTTAAATAAGTTAGATTTTTTATTCATTTTTTTTCAACACTACTCCAATTAAGGTGTCTATATTCACTTCCCTCCGACTCTCCGCTCCGTACTTTCTGCTTTCTTCCCTTTAGTCCCTGAAATAAATTCTTCCGGTTCGCTTTACGCTTACTTTGTACACGCGAATTCATGATGGGAGACCTATAGGAACATTACATTAAAAACTTTTTTTGTAAGTTTAGGTAACAGAGGGAAAGAAAACAAACGAAGAAGACGTAACTAAAATGACAAAGAAGAACTTTCGAAAGAATGAATCAGTAAGATACTATTAACAAAGTCAAGTGTATACAAATATTGAAACCGTCTGTTGTAAAATTTCTTCTTTACTATTTAGGGCCAAGATCCCTTGACGAAATTACGATTTTTTCGAATTTGTGAAAGAATGATAGACCAGAACTTGCTTTCCGATGTTAATATAGGTAAATTCCTTCATTATTCCATTTATATATGAGGTATCCAATGAATTCTCATGCAGTATTCGTATCGTAACGAACGCATTACTCAATCTTTTATTTCGAGACTTTAGAATGTCCAATGCATTCTCTTTTAAGAAGTGATTTTAAACTCAAACTAACTAATCATTAATCATTAAAACGAACTCAACTAATCATTAAAACGAAGAAGATGGAAAGAAGTGTTAGCACTCGGTTATGACATCTGAAGCTGAATTTTTCTTCTTTAACCCCTTGCTTACAGCTCTTTGTATGATGAAGTCCGCCATTCATTCTTGTCCACATGTTATACCAGCCGTAAACAAAAGGTTAAATAATAAACTTCTGTTCCAAACCACTTCCATTATCTTTCCATTCCTTCTTGCCCACCCGTTATACCAGCCGTAAACAAAAGGTTAAATAATAAACTTCTGTTCTGAACCACTTCCATTATACTTCCATTCATTCTTGTCCACCCGTTATTCCAGCCGTAAACAAAAGGTTAAATAATAAACTTCTGTTCTGAACCACTTCCATTATCTTTCCATTCCTTCTTGTCCACCCGTTATACCAGCCGTAAACAAAAGGTTAAATAATAAACTTCTGTTCCAAACCACTTCCATTATCCTTCCATTCTTTCTTGCCCACCCGTTATTCCAGCCGTAAACAAAAGGTTAAATAATAAACTTCTGTTCTGAACCACTTCCATTATACTTCCATTCCTTCTTGTCCACTCGTTATGCCAGCCGTAAACAAAAGGTTAAATAATAAACTTCTGTTCCAAACCACTTCCATTATCTTTCCATTCTTTTTTGTCCACCCGTTATGCCAGCCGTAAACAAAAGGTTAAATAAACTTCTGTTCCAAACCACTTCCATTATCTTTTCATTCCTTCTTGCCCACCCGTTATACCAGCCGTAAACAAAAGGTTAAATAATAAACTTCTGTTCTGAACCACTTCCATTATCCTTCCATTCTTTCTTGTCCACCCGTTATACCAGCCGTAAACAAAAGGTTACATAATAAACTTCTGTTCTGAACCGTTATCCTTCCATTCTTTCTTGTCCACCCGTTATACCAGCCATAAACAAAAGGTTAAATAATAAACTTCTGTTCTGAACCACTTCCATTAATCCTTCCATTCATTCTTGTCCACCCGTTATACCAGTCGTAAACAAAAGGTTAAATAATAAACTTCTGTTCCAAACCACTTCCATTATCCTTCCATTCCTTCTTGTCTACCTGTTATGCCAGCCGTAAGCAAAAGGTTAAATTAGAAACTTCTGTTCTGAAACTCCACTTTCATTATCCTCAAAGTAACCGATTGCGGACTTTGTCATTAGCAAGACAAAGGGGAAAAAATTAGGTTATTAATTTTTAAAAAAGCATCTTGTTCCTGGAGTAATTTCAAAGTGGGGAAAGTTTCCGTTTGTTTTCATTGATAAAAGAGGTATAGAGAAAAATCGAGAGACACAGAGATTAATAAAAAACAATAAAATGAGATTTCAGAGAAAGTTCATATTAGAAAACTAAATGGAAATGAATATGATAGGTTTGCGTGGTTTTTCCTTTCATGTAAAGCAAATATCCATTAGCTCCATCAGAAAGTCCTCCACGAAGTCAAAGTTTTTCCAGTACTTGATCTAGGAGTTCCCTTGTCTTCTGGATTGGGTTAAAAATTACTAGGTTACGGAGTTGAAGATAGGTAGTCGTCATATCTGACGTCAGAGCCTGTAAAAAAACAGCCTTAAAACTGCATGAGAACTTATTAAACATCATATAACTTTGAATTGTTTTGGACCGATCCTTATTGATTTCAAAAATCAAACCCTTCATAATTCTTTTATTTTACTCACAGATTTCAGTTTTTATGATACTCCTGCGGATGAATTCAAAGATAAAGGAATGGGTTCGCTACTGGCCCTTTGGAAGTTCAGCTATCAACCCATGAAGGGATTGTCTATCACAAGCCTGAGTTGGAATAGTCAGTATCCTGATATGTTTGCTGCAGCTTTTGGTGCTTGTACGTTTTTATACAGATTTCATTCAACATGTTTATATCTATCTAGTTTTCTATTAGGTTCAGTACCACTATGAAAATATTCGATAAAAGATTTTTTTTTTAAAAATTTTGTTAAAAAAAGTTTTTGTTTTCATCTAAGTTTAAAAAATAACTGGATCGAATGGATTCTGCTCAAAAATGTTAGTATCGAATCAATTAAAGAATTACTCGGAAAAAAATATTTAAAAAAAAAAACTTTAAAATTATTCATTATAAAACGAAAATTTGGAAGAAAAAACGAAAAAATTCTAATAACTGAAGTCCCGCTGTTCCAGTTGACTGGGGACACTGTTCCCAGTTGAACACCAAAGTCAATAATCACTGGTTGCGTTCAGTAAGCCGTTGGGTTGACCACATTGATCTGCCTGTATAAGAACCGAGGGTGCCCGGTATCGTGGTCCTCGTTAAATTGTTCTGCTGTAAAGTGCTCGACTTCGCGCGTAGGTCATAGTCGGGATATCAAAGCAGAGGAGCCATCCCCTATGCAGAGGATCGAAATTGTGATGGCATGTCTTTGGATCATCTTCAGGGATGTTTCACAGACCGTCGCCGATAATCCATTATTCAGCTTTAGTTTGACATAAACCAAGAATCTACCTACCCATCCAGTAACTGAGCAGACGGCACCTATTCATTTCTTCTACGTTACCTAATCTTAATTTATGGTTTTAAAATATGTGTTGCATTAGTAACCTTGAACTGAGCCAATAGAGGTAGCTAAGCAAAGGATTATTCAATAAACGTCACAGCTATTTTGCTATACCTTAGTACAATTACTATACTCTTACTACAGAAAGAGTAATTATTATATTCTTACTCCAGAAAGAGTAATTACTATACTCTTACTCCCGAAAGAGTAATTACTATACTCTAACTCCAGAAAGATTAATTACTATACTCTTACTCCAGAAAGATTAATCACTATACTCTTACTCCAGAAAGATTAATCACTATACTCTTACTCCAGAAAGAGTAATTATTATACTCTTACTCCAGAAAGAGTAATTACTATACTCTAAATTTAGAAAGAGTAATTATTATACTCTTACTCCAGAAAGAGTAATTACTATACTCTTACTCCAGAAAGAGTAATCATTATACTCTTACTACAGAAAGATAAATTACTATACTTTTACTCCAGAAAGAGTATTTACTGTACTCTTACTCCAGAAAGAGTAATTATTATATTCTTACTCCAGTTGTATGAAAGTTACAAAAGTGTTAGACTTATTGTCCATTGATAATTTCAAGCCTTCAAATAGTTATATTTTCTTAAGACTTTTTTATTGATTTTTTAATTAAGTGAGGTGTTACATGACATGCATAAAGTAATACTAAGAAGAGAAGTAATCCACAGATCTAATCTTTCAATTGAATTTAAAGACATTATAATTTAATTGAGTCGCGATGGANAAAGAGTAATTACTATACTCTTACTCCAGAAAGAGTAATTACTATACTCTTACTCCAGAAAGAGTAATTATTATACTCCTACTCCAGAAAGAGTAATTATTATACTCTTACTCCAGAAAGAGTAATTACTATCTTACTCCAGAACGAGTAATTACTATACTCTTCCTCCAGAAAGTTTAATTACTATATTCTCACTCCAGAAAGAGTAATTATTATACTCTTAATCCAGAAAGATTAATTACTATACTCTTACTCCAGAAAGAGTAATTATTATACTCTTACTCCAGAAAGAGTAATTACTATACTCTTACTCCAGAAAGAGTAATTACTATACTCTTACTCCATAAAGAGTAATTACTATACTCTTACTCCAGAAAGAGTAATTACTATACACTTACTCCAGTCGTATGAAAGTTACAAAAGTGTTAGACTTATTGTTCATTGATAATCTCAAGCCTTCAAATGGTTATATTTTCTTAAGACATTTTTATCTTTTCTTCAATTAAATGAGGAGTTACACGACATGCATAAAGTAATACTAAGAAGAGAAGTAATCCACGGATCTAATCTTTCAATTGAATTTAAAGACATTATAATTTAATTGAGTCGCGATGGATCAGGGGAGAGAGCGTTCGCCTCCAAATGAGTTGACCCAGCTTTCAATTCCAGCTTTGACTGGTTGATACAAATCCTCACCTTCCAGCCTCTGCTTCCAGCTCCTCACACCGACCCCAAGGCTGACGTAAAATATCCTCAGTGTTAGGTGGTTAGAATTCCATTTCCGTCGGGACAACCGTGTGAGGTTTCCGTGGTTTTCCTTTCCATGCAACGCAAATGCAAAAAAATCCTCCACGAAGGCCAGTGTGTCCCGATACTTGATTCAGGCGTTCTCTTGTTTTCTGGGCTGAGATCAAAATTGCAAGGCTACGGAGATGAAATTTGATATTCGTGAACTAAAAAATGGATCAGCTGTTTAACGATAAAATAAAGTGTAGAGTCGTACTTACAATCAAAAAGGGGGGAGAGCTACCATTTCCTTGAGGGTATGCATGTTGGCCTTCTTTTGTTCCATAAAGCAAAGGAAAAGTCAGGCAGTCGGCCTTTTTTACCCAGGTATCGTCGTTTAGCTTTCGTCTCTTTCTTAATTTAGGCACTCTAATTTAATAAATCCAATTAGTAGTTAGTTTTAATTCATTTGTTTTCATTGAATATTTATTTATTTCAGATAATGTAGCAAAGAAAGGCCAGGGCGGATGCGTCTGCATCTACAGCTTAAAAAGCCCCTCCCACCCGGAAAAAGTATTTCCATGCAAAACTGGAGTCCATTGCCTAGAATTTCACAAACATTTCTCATACTTATTAGCTGTAGGTTTTGCCGATGGTACTGTGGCTGTCTATGATTTGAGAAAAATCGGAACTTCACCAGAAGCAGTCAATAAAAATTCCAGATTGGAGCATAGTGACATAGTCAGTCATGTAAGTGAGATCTACCAGAAGCAGGCTGTTGTGCCAATGATGATAATGAAGTTTAATTAATAATTTAAATTAAATGCACTCTTCTTTCAAATCCTTATTTAGAAATTATGCAGCCATACGTAAACAACTTTTGCAGTTAATAAATGTGTTAATTTTTAATTAATTTCTGATTCACCTGCAGGTAAGATGGCTTCCTGACAGTATCGACGGACAGCATAACTTTTGCTCGATATCTGCTGATAGTAAGGTTATAAACTGGCTGTTGGCAAAGGTACTTATTTATGTAAATACGGTGTTCTATAATGAATGTCTTTAATGTATATTTTTAAAAAGAATTTCTGAGCTTTTGCCTGAAAGTTTATTTTCATTCATTTTCGGCATATTTAGCAACTTATCAAAAATTTGACGAATTCCATCTCCAGGGTAAGATTTGTTGCTGTTGTTTTCGTATGCTTGTTAAGGCAGATGGGTGAGATTGTTCTTGTTTTCCAGTAGCGCCATCTATGACCAAAGATTTGATTGAAAAATTAAAATTCATTGTGGTTATATTGTAAACTTAATTGGGACAGTGATTCCAGCTCGTGAACGCATTTAACTTCAGGATGGATACGACGCCAACCTACCAAAAATGCATTTCAAGAAAGGATGATTAAACTTATGTTTAAATGGGACAAAAACAAAACTTCATCAAAATCTTATTTCGGATGATTGGATTAAAATAATCAAAATAAGTTTGATTGACGGTTATCGTTAACCCTTTGACGTAGAATTTTATTAAATCTATGTATTTTTTCTTTATTTTATACTAACTTAGGCCAAAATAACAGGAAAATATTGTATTTAGCTTTTTGATAATTTATGGTTATCAAAAACAGCATGAAACACCGGTGTATTTTTCAGAGTTAAAGCTAAAGTATCCCAAAAATGGCTCAATTCCAAACAATAAATTTTTTAAATTATTATTATAATTATTAACGGTCAGGCACTNGGAAAATTTATCGAATTTCGTTCCGGTTTTTTGGTTTTCCGGTTTTCTGATTTCCGGATAACGGGTTCTGTACTGTACTAACTTAGGCCAAAATAAGAGGAAAATATTATATTTAGCAATTTGATAATTTATGGTTATCAAAAACAGCATGAAACACCGGTGTATTTTTCAGAGTTAAAGCTAAAATATCCCAAAAATGGCTCAATTCCAAACAATAATTTTTTAAAATTATTATTATAATTATTAACGGTCAGGCACTGAATTCTCGTTCTTCGCCTTGGAATATGCCGAAAGTTCTGTTCATTTTAACATACCCCATTTGTACCTACGAATCAAAGTCACGAAAACAAGAAGCATTACTCATGCCAGTCTACCAAAGACACCCGTTCACAAGGGAGGGCCACATTCACACACCAAAAAACAACACACAGAAGAGAAGCATCTATTCCCTGAGATGGGTTCGAACCCGTAACCGTTGGCTTCGCAGTCAGGCACGCTGACAACTCATACTAATAACGCAATCAATTCGAATTGTGGACTATATAACCAGAGGTCTTCATCTTAAACTATCTTCAGATATCCTAATGCTGGACATTAGTAAAGCGGTCGATAAAGTTTAGCATAATCTATAAATAATACAACTAAATTTCCCACCTGGGATTGTCAACATTATTCGCAACTATCTCAGCAATGAAAACTTCCACATCAGCGTCGACAAACATAAATCACCGATTTATCAACATGAATCAACGAGTTATTTATCATTAAAGTTTCTTTAACTTACAAAATCAATTACTGATAAATTTTAGAATGTGAATGAAAAAAGACAGTTTTTCAAACTACTACGCTTGGATTTTATATTTTAGTAAAAATATAATTCCGATAATCTAACAGATTTTTTTTAGTAACTATTAGACTGTTTTTTAGAGTAAAAAAATACCTAAATATATTTTCGCTTGTTACAGCGGCGGAAAAAAACATACTAAAAAGACATCGGTGTCCCAGCTACGTCAAAGGGTTACGATCGTTTATTGATATATGGTGTTTTCTAAAAATTTATTTCTCGTTAATAATTTCCCAAGTTTAGTTAATGTTTTTGTTTTACATTTACTCTTTAATTTTCCTTAGTGTGTATAGTTTTAACAAGGATTTGAAGTATATACATTAAGGGCGGTGATTGCGGTGCACCCTGTATACATAATATATTTTTTTTTTCAAAATTTATCTAACTTTGAATAATCAAATGAATTTTTCTTTTATTGTTTAGTCTGAACTGATACCAGCTGAAGTTATAAATTTTTACCAAAATGATATCTTTACTGGAAACTCAGGGAATGATCGCTTTGTAAGTAAGTGAAAACTAAAGTCCCTGTATCTAATGTAGGTAGAGAGTTACGGCTTACTGGTAATAATCTATGATTGGTTTAAAACAAAGTTTACACGAATTTTCTCAAAAGAGTTCTTTTTGAAGGAATCTTAAAATTAGATATAATACTTAATTATTTTGTCTTGCTTTTAATATCTAATTATTCAAAGTTAAATAACTATTCAAAGCATCTATTATAAGCAGCAAAATAATTGTTATATAATTCATATGTTTGATGAAATAATTAAACTAAATTATAATTAAAGTAATTTTTTTTGTCAAAAAAAAAATCGTAGCAAGTATCGTGAACAAAAAAAAAAGAAAAGTTGTGATTTTATATTTAAAGAATTGAATCAACTAATCATTAATTTATGCAACTTTGGTGTAATTTAGCCTGTTTTGTTATAGAATTAAATAGCGGAAGTGTTGAGAACAGGGGGGGGGTGAAGAACCACTCATTTTGTGCTTTTTATTCACATCGATGTTAAATTTTAATGATTTATTTTAAGTTTTCACATGGATTGATCATTTAGTAGTGAATTTATTACTTGCATACTATTATTTTATTTTCGGATTACAGTAACAAAGTAACAAGAGGTTTTGAAAAAGGCCTGCTTTTTAGGCAATTTAAAGTACCTATTGCGTATAAAAAATAGTAATGAATAGCAAGAAAAACACATCACCCATGTCGCTAAACACTAAAAAACGTTTAAAAGCAAACTAAGTACAAAAGAATTATAGTATTGATAAAATATAACACATAGTACATTACTAACAATATATAAATGTAACTAATAATATATATAAATATAACTGCAGTCAAATTTCGTTATAGTGAACCTTCAAGGGGCTGAAATTTTCGTTCACTATAACCGGGATTTTACTATATCCGTCAACAATTTTAACTAATGGTTCCAATGGTTCCCCACCTTTTTTTTACACATTATTTAAATAAATGACCAATATAATAAAATACAAAAATTACTGAAAAATAATACGTCATCATCATCATATCTGGCTAGACAGCCCAGGGTGGGCCAGTGCCTTCCTTTGAATTCGAATCCACTTCTCTCTATTGACACTTGTTCGCCAATTTTTCTCCTTTTGAGTACGGAAATCAGTCTCGACTAAATCCAGCCATCTCAGCCTGGGTCTACCTCTTTTCCTGTTCGTTAGGGGTTTGTGTAATAGGATTTTCTTTAAATTTGAGTCATCATTCCTTCTGAAAATGTGAGCTGCCCAGTTCATTCGATTTATTTTAATGAATTTCACAATATCTGGCTCTCTGTAGATTTTATACAGTTCAGTATTATATCGTCTTCTCCAGGAATTATTTATTTTTATCCCACCAAGGATGGCCCTCAAAACTTTTCTCTCAAAAATGGCAATTTTATTTTCACCAGGTTCCAGGTTCAATAGGTTCCAGGTCTCAGAGCCGTAGGTAAGTATTGGCCTAATTAATGTTTTATAGAGTAAAAGTTTTGTATTTTTTGATAAAAGAGAGGATTTAAAAAAACGTTTTAAACCATATAAAGCTTTATTTGAACAAATTAGACGACTTCCGAATCTCATTGTCTATGCTATTGTCGGCAGTAACTATTGAACCAAGGTAAGTAAAATTCTGAACAATCTGAAACCTGTGGGAACCAATCTCCAGATAGGATACACTAGAATTTAATTTAGCAAGTGCAGTCATGTATTTGGTCTTATCGGTATTAATGATTGGTCCCATATCCCTAGCAGCAAGCTCCAAAGAAAGGAAAGATTCTTTTAATGCAGGAACAGTTCTTGCAATGAAAAATAATACGTAGTAACAAAAAATGCTATAACTTTTATTTCTTTATTACTCTTCATCTTGCGTGCAAAAAAAAAAAATTACTTAGAGTACCATCATGCATAGGACATACAAATGGACGGCTTTTGCATAGTTGAAGTGGCTGCTCGAGTGAAAATAAGGTAACATGTTCTTTATACTTTTGTTATAAAATCTGTGATGAGCAGATAGCGCATTATTACCAGAAGTAGCAAAAATGGCAGATGATTTGAAATATTAAATAAAGAAAAACGGATAGAAATTGAAATGTTCTGTTTGCTGCGTGTTGCTTTTTCGGAACGAGATTTTCTTTTAAAGTTTCGAAATTAATTATAAAGTTCGTTAACAGATGGCAGTGCTAAGAAAAATAAGCACTATCTGCAGCAACAACGTGTTGTAGTCCGAGAATAAAACTAACAGACACCGGGACAAATAAATGGTTTTATAGCTTTTTTTAGTCAGTAGCTGGAATTTATGATTCATTTTACATTTTGCTGATAATAAATTAAATAGTTTTCCAAGCAGAGCCCAACAAACCATACATTTATATCCCCTCAATCATCATTCACCTCATGGACACCCTATATCTTTTTCCATAATTTACAACACCTTAAACAATTCTGATAGTGATGCATTTCATTATAGGCTGTGGAACATCGATTTCTTTCAATCCAAGTTGCAGCGATCTTTTTTTGATCGGAACTGAAAATGGGTTAATTCACAAATGCTCCAATTTGTTCACTGCTCAATATTTGGATTCTTACAAAGATCATCAAAACATTGTGTACAATGTTCAATGGAATCCATTTCATCCTAGAGTATTTTTGTCCTGTAGTGCTGATTGGACAATAAGGATATGGGACCATTCATTAAAGTAAGCAATTAAAAAATATTTAGATGTACTGAAATGACGACTGTTGAATATTATAGATCAAATTCAGTTGATGTGATTGTGTACCAAGTCTTTGAAATATCCTCAACTATTAACAGTAACAAGGGTTTTAAGTCTGGCGAGAATAGTTCCTCCTATTTAGAACTAGTTTTTTTTAAAATATTTGCTAGATAAAATTCCCGTTACTCAATTTACCAAGAAATTTTTGATTATAATTGCTTACAGAGCAGCGATGGCACAGGGGATTGAGCGTTCGCCTTCCAATGAGGTGAACCGGGTTTGATCCCAGCGATGGCTGTTCGGTACAAATTCTGCATCCGGATTGCACCGACCACAGTGCTGGCGTGTAATATTCTCTCTGTTAGACGGATCATGGGTTAGAGTCCCCTTGTCGTCAGGCTAACCGTGAGAGGTTCTCGTGGTCTTCCTCTCCATGTAACGCAAATTCGGGTTAGTTCCATCAGAAAGTTCTCCGCGAAGGCAAATTTCTTCCAGTACTTGATCCAGGAGTTTCCTTGTCTTCTGGATTGGGTTCAATACTACAAAGTTACGGAGTTTAACATTAGTAGTAGCAAACCCAAAAATTAGGTCGGCTGTTCAACGACGGTTATAAAATTAAATAAAATTGCTTACAAATACTAGCTTTATAATGTTGGCCACCCGTAAACATAACAATTCTAAAATATTTTCTAAAAAATGTCAAGTTAATAATTTCTAAATCATGCCATTCTAATATAGTTTGCTCCCTAAACTTTATTATTAATCATGAAACTACACTAAACAAATAATCAATATATTTGTTATCGTTATCACGGCTTGCGATTACTTATAAACGTAATTACTCTTAAGGTTACACGTAATCTCGATTGAAAGCAATTATGATCATCCATACATACGATTACAATCAAACTAACACATAATTTCTGAAAATGATTACTTTTAGTCATTGACAACTATTTTTTTCAATCATGATTACATTAGTAATGGTAAAAGATCATAATTAGTAATCAATAGCTGTAGAACACCAAAAGTGCACCTGACTAGTTTAGTTGCAAATGCATGTTTAAAGTATTGAAACAGTTTTACAGGAACATATAGTAAAAATATTGTAATCTTGTTTGCAAGCAATTATGATTACTTGTAATCTTTGATCATGATTTCTTGGAATCACAATCGCGTTAGTAATCGTAAATGATGATAATTTGCGGTCAAAAACCAGTTATAATAGAAGCGTCGTTTGACTCTAGATAATTTCATAGCCGTAGAACCCAACTACTTTCTCAGCTCATTGCTACTTTTGCTGCAAATGTATCTTCCAAGCAGTGAAGCAGTTTTACAGATATACATAGGAAATATTTTGGGGAGAAAAAAAAAGGAAAGATAGAAATGAGTCAGAAAAAAAAGGAGATTAAAAGCAATGAAACAGTTTTACAGAAACGTATAGTATAAATTTTGTAATCTTGATTCCAAGCTATTATGATTACTTGTTATCATTATTAATGATTTCTTGGAATCGCGATCACATTAGCAATCGTAAATGATGATAATTTGTAATGAAAAACCAGTATATTTTTAATCCCTTTTTTTTTTGGACACTATTACCAGGTTGTTAAACTTAACCTTTATTTTGTAGTTAAATTTAATTTTTGTACAGATTTTATAATTTATTTATTATTATTGTATTTTATATTTTTAATATATTCATAGTAATTAAATAATCACACTGTTTAATAAATAAATAAACAGTATTAAAAATCATTTTGTTAGCTTAGCTCTCTTACATTATGTTTACGCCGACCAGGTGGCCGATTGGTTAGCGTGCCTGACTGCGGAGCTGATGGTTACGGGTTCGAATCCCGCTCATGGTATGGATGTTTCTTTCTCTCTCTCGGCGTTCTATGTCCTATCTCCTTTGTGTGACGTGGGCGACGCTGCTCCACCGCCGTGGCTTCGCCACAGGTGCCCACTGGGTAACGATAAGAGAATAGCAGTCCTGGCATATGAGGCCAAAGGGACAACACATCCCAAGTGCCCGCCATTAAAAAAACAAACAAAAAAACATTATGTTTTCAAGACCTGGTTTTTATGTTTTTTAACAAATGATTCAACAATTTTAATGGCAGTTTTGTGTTTTCCTCGCTTGAATTTGCGACCTATAATGTGCATACTTTTTTCTTTTGCAAAATGTCAAAAAATATATAACATATTTGTTCCTCGCGAATGGTTCATTTTTTTCATAACAGAAAAAAGTGGTAGCACAGGTATATCATTATTAGAATTTATTTTGTAGAAATAGAAATAAAATATTTCTTACTGTATTATCTATTTTTTAAAAAAGATAGATATTTATATTTGGATGTAAAATCAAAACACAATTTCTTTTTAAAGCTAAAATTTTAAGGTAACGGAAATATCTATTTAATAAAAAACTACTATTTTATAAAAAACTACATATTTTCTGGCCAATGGGTCGGGGTCAGTGTGACGAAACACTCAGTATTATCTATATAAATATTTCTCTTACGTAGCACCTTTAAATCGAGTATTTCTCTGTCCATTGGCAACGTTACATGTATTATTAATGTTGTTAGGTTGTCTTAAGTAATACTTTAAGCAGTGTTGAATAGTTAGTTAGACATTAAATATTTACATAGATTCTTTTTTAATTCCTAAAATGGCTGTAGAAATTTTAAACATAAACGGTGTTGCGGCGCCGCATACTTTCACACCAAATATTGGTGACGGAGCTTGCCTTTATATATAT